ATAGCTATACAGGGAATTGACTCACATTAATTTCCTGTGCGTGTGTGTGTTACCTTCTAAGTTAATTGTTTTTGATCTAACCTTTTCTCTAGTTCCTGGTCCCCTTCTCCTATTGGCCTCAGTTGCTTTTAAGGTATCTGCTTTAGTTTCTCTGCGTTGAGGGAAACAAATGCTAGCTAATTTTTTAGGTGTCTTACCTATCCTCATACCTCCCTTGTGTGCTCTTTCTTTTATCTTGTGATCAAAGTCCAATCCCCTTGTGTTTGCTCTTGATCTAATGTCCGCATATGAGGGAGAACATACGATTTTTGGTCTTTTGGGCCAGGCTAACCTCACTCAGAATGATCTCCAATTCCATCCATTTACCAGCGAATGATACCCTTCATGCACTTTTTGAGTTTGAGGCCTCACTCTTCCTAGGCAGTTACTCTACCACTTGAGCCACCCCACTAGCCTTTTTTTAGTGTGTGTCGGGTATTTTTGAGATAGGGGCTTGCTTTTCCCAGGCTGGCCTTGATCCTTCTCATCTCTGCTTGCCAAATGAGCCAGGTGTGGTGGTGCATACCTGTAATCCCAGCAGGCCAGCCTGGGCTACATGGTGAAACTGGAAAAAAAAAAAGTGCCGGAGGTACTCGAATTGTAGAGCACACGCCTACCATTCGACCCTAGTACTGCCAAGAAGTCCAGAATTGCTTCAGTCTTTGGAGCAGCCCCGTCATGTTAGCAGTGACAGCAGTCTTATGTGCACTGCTGGGGTGTGCCCAGTGCCTAGTGTGTGCCAGGCAAGTGCTGTGCCACTGAGTCACAGCCTGGTCCCAGAGGACTGCATTTGAAACAGCCTGGTCCATTACCCGACCTCTATCTAATGGAGCCCCACGCTAGTGCTTGAGAAGCACCACTTGTAGAAGACAGGTTGGGAGAAGGTGGTGTGGCAGACCAGAGACGGAAGGTTCCAGAGTTTGAATATGGGTTGAAAAGTTACCTTGACAACTAAGGCAGCTAAATATTGATAACTGGATCCACTGTGAAGGATGCTTATTAACATTCCTTACTTGGGGATGGAGTTTGGGGTTAGAAGCAGATAACAAACCAAGAAAACTTTTTATTTGGGCCAGTCTGGGACTGTGATCCTACCACATCTCATGTAGCCGGGATTATAGAGGTATGCCACCATGCCCAGCTTGTTGACATGAGGCCTTAATTTTTGCCAAGTAGCTGGAGTTATAGTTACGAGCTCCTGGGGCCCAGCCTGTATAAAATTAGCAGCACTGAAGTAGGGACGTACTACCCTGTTCCTTTTTGTGTGGGTAGATCAGTGTTAAGACTCTGAAGTGAAGTCACTTGCCTAAGGCTCCCAGCAAATTAGAATCCAAATTGAGTGCCCTGAGAACAAGGCACAGATGACTAATACTGAGCAGTTCGTAAACTTTACAATGGCTCTGTGTGAGACTAACATTGGCTCAGGTTATGGAGCAGGAAGGCCGCCCTTTGCAGCCTCTTTCGCTCCATCTGCCTGTCTTGTAGGTTCAAATCTGCTCTTTAGAACATGGCTTTGATGCTAGGCAGGCCTGGTTTTGAAGCCTGGCTGCACAGTTCCTTGCTGTGAGACCCTGGGGCCTAACCCTGCAGAACCTTTTTCCTGTTTCCCACCACAAAAAGATGTGTAAGGAAGCAACAGACTTGGAATCTGTACATGACGTGTTAGCCAGTGCTAGGTGGTAGGTGGGGAAGAGAGCAAGGCTTGGATTCAGTTAGGCAGGGAACTGGTGAGAAGTGAAGGTTGAGGTTCATGGACAAGGTGTGAGTGTAGAAGGCCTGGGAGACAGGCTTGTCTGATGTCTGGATGCCACAGTACTTATTCCTAAAAGTCCCAGACCATTGGCCTGCATGCACTCAGGTGGGGCTCTAGGAGAGCCAGTCTTCAGCCCCACAAATGGCCTGTTCAACCACTGCAGAGCATGGTGGCTCACCCACAGCTACTCAGTTTCTCAGGGACTACAGTGTAAACCAGCCCAGGCAACAGCCTCAATCAAGAAGCTGAGTGCTGGGTGGTGCATGCCTGTTGTCCCAGCTACCTTTAGAGATAGGAAGACTGCAGTCTAAAGCCAGCCCCAGGCAAAAATGCAAGATCCTATCTGAAAAATGAAAGCAAACTGGGCTTGGAGATGTGGCTCAAGTGAGGCCCTGAGTTCAAACCTCAGTATGGCAAACAACTGCCTGGCAGATGTTTCTCCACAGGTGTCCATTTTATATCAAACCCCATTTATATAGTTGGCCTTGATTTATGATGATTCAACTTACATTTTTAAACTTTACAATGGTGTGAAAGCACCCACAGAACCATGTTTTATCAATTTTCAGTAAAATACTTGGGATACTTGGGATAACATAGCCGTTAAGGCAGGCTGGGCTAGAGGAAGATGTACTGAGTGCATTTTTATTTTTGGCTTTTTTGTGTCTGCCTCCCACAATTACAGAATTGTGGCACAAGAATTACAGGTATGTGCCACCACACCTGCTTATGACTTATCTTACCTCCGGACGGTTTGTCAGGACACAATTCCAGTGGAAGCTGAGGAGCATCTGCAAGTGACCAACTTGAGTTTTGGCGACAGGTTTGAGGTCTGTTACCCTCCAGCCAGTCCTTAGTTCACCTGGGTGGAGCACAGCCTTAGCCCACAACAGCTGTCAGTTCAAAACCAGGGCTCTCCTTCCCTCAGCCTGGCTGAACCCTCCAAGAACAGGCTTTGTTTGGCTGACTAGCATATTTCCTTATAGACAGTGAAAAAGGATTTTATTGTGGGGACGATGATGGGTGGTGACAAGGGCATGGAGCAGCAGATAGGTTGACAAGAAAGCAGACAGACCCTTCATGGTTTACAGCGCAATAATGAAGGCTTGTGGGGTAGGGTGAGAAAAAGTGATTACATACTAGTGCAACTGTTGCAAAATATGTTACTTGTTTGAAAAGTGAAAATGACAGTAGTAGCAAAATCAGGCAGTTCATCTGAACCAAAGCCAGCAGAGCCGGATGGATGAGAGGTTCAGTCCAGAGGAGCTGGCTCTACCCCAGTCACAGAACCGCCTGCTATGCAAGGATTTCGTCTTCCTTTGATTCTCTTGGGAAACCATAGGCTTCCCAAGTCCCTGGGGGTCCCTGGAGACCCAGAGTTTGGCACTGTACCTGAGGCTGCCCTCTGCTCTGAGGACAGGTCTGCAGGCAGCCAGCTGGCCTCAGGAGGCAGTAGAAGAGCAGCGCTGCAGCAGTAGGGTGTGACAGCTGTCACACACCCGCACTGGCTTTGGATAGGAGGGCAGGGCCAGCTCATTGCTGGAGCACGCGTTGCAGAAGATGTGGCCACAGTTGCGGCAGTGGTGCTAGAAGACAGGAAAAAGGCAGTCACATGTACCCTAACACTTTTGACGGTGTCCCTCCCTGGCAGTGCCCTTATCCCAGAGTGGAGGCATGTGGCAGGCTTCTGGGGGCAGTGGCAGAGGCTGCTTGCTTTACAAATGGCTGTCAGTGATGGACAGACACCAAGCTGAACCTGGGCAGCCTCTGTTCTGTTCTATAGACTGTGAGGCTAGACAGCCTTGAACTGGACTGATTGCTTGGATTGGCCAGGCCTTGCAACAATGTGTTTCCAGCTCTGAAACTTCTGCAAGGCACTGTCTAGAGTTTGGAATTTTGACTCCCTCTTTCTCAGATAGCTGTTGATGGGGGCAGAGGAGGATGTGGGGCTCCACAGTTGGGAAGGGTGGTGGCAGTGGGCAGGCCGCTCTATTCTCCATAGTGAATGCCCCTCAGCTCCCAGTGTCACAATCCTCTGCTGGTCCCTTGCCCAACTGGTTTTGTGAGGCAGTTCATCAAGGCCCTGGGGCAGGGAGGATTTGGTGACCTGAGGCCCCATTACTTCCCATGGATTCTTTTTGCCTAAATTGGCCAAAGTTTGGTTCTTGTTGCATAGAGGATTTTCAATACCTAGGGCAGCTCTACCATAAGCAGCCTGTTTCCCAAAGCAGTATGCCAATCATTAAAGGACTGATGGGGACCAGGGGTCAGTGAGTGACTGGCCAGGGCAAGCATAAGCACACTCACAATGAAATGCACCTGGTCTGACAAGGGCTGTTTCTTGGAATCAGAGAAAGGGGATCCCAGTGGGGTGATACCCAGTGTTCTCACCTTCCTCCGAGAAATGGAGAACTCCTTTTCACACTGCTTACAGTGCGTTGCTTCATCATCTTTCAGCCAGGTGTGGCCCTGAGGAGGAATGAATACCCAGAGGTCTTATGTCTCAGCCCTAGGTGGACAGTAATTAGCTATGACTGGCTTTATCAGATGTCACCTCACAGGACTCATGAAGAAGCCCTGCCTCCTATACTGACCACAGCATCTTGGTCTCTGTAGGTGACCTTAAAGCAGATTCTCCAGCACCCTGTTCAGCCAAGGCTTCCCCACATCCTCTCCATTTGTCCCTTTCGGCTGAGGTCACCAGAGTTAGGTTCTGGTGCTTGCAGACCCAGCAATGCCTGAGACACACTGTCCAGTGACTACCGAACTACAGAAGGGAGTGGGCCAAATCATCAAGACAGCACAGGTGCCATGGACCCCTGGGGAGAGACAGACCGTGTGTAGGGCCTGCCTCACACCTCCATCCAGTCCTCCAGCAACCCTGGGAAGTAACTTAGCTCTATTCTAGATGACACAACATGCTCTGAAAGATGACTTTTTGGAAGTTGTTCCAGGGAAAGCTAGGATGTGACTTAGCCTTAGGAACTGAAGTGGGTGTCAAAGGCATGGCATTTCTGGCTCCCTGGTGCATCTGTTAGACAATTTTTTGAATGATCTATGATCCTCATGACTGAGCTGAAAGAATAGACCCTTCAGGCTACCATCATGTGCCCAGGGTGCTCACCCTACACGGCCCCAAGTGGCTTTACAGTCCTGCTCTGATTTATCCTCCCTCCCTCTGAAGCTGATCCCTGGCATTGTCACTATTTGGTGCAAACATTTCTGTGTGAGGTAAGGAGAATATAAAGATAGGCAGTGCATAGCAATTACATTCAAGGAGCTTTTAATCAAACAGTGCTCTACTACTGAGCTACACCCCCAGCCCTGAGGATAAAATGAATTGATGTTACATAGACGTCTAGGCTATTGTTAGTTGCTGTGACAAGTGGCTGCCTCTCTGCTCTAGACACAAAAAAGGGTGCCAGGTGGAGGATTGCATTTGCATAGTTGCCACAGCAGAGTGGAGGCTGAGGGGCAGAAAGAAACTCCAGAGAGGTGGGCACTCTGCTTTGAGGAGCCTGTGCTGGAGGCTGGGCCAGCGCAACTCATGCATGGATCCTCTGTTTGCTCCTGCTCTTAGGTGGAATGTGTCATTCTGTTCTCAAAATGGTGTGGAAACCTGGCTCAATTCAGGGCTTGTTTGAGGGGTTCCCAGAAATGACACAGAGTACTGCTATGGGGCTTACTGTCAATAGAGCTCTCACTCTTCACTTTCACTAATAAAAAAATCTCCTAGATCTCTGCAACCTTTTCCTTCCTGCTTTAGGGTGCCTATCATCTAGGCCTACTTTTGAACTATACTCAGAAGCCTCAATTCCAGCTCACACTGTCCTCTTGTCAACATTGCCATCAGCTGAGTGCACAGAACTGAACTGGGCCACCACACATCACTGCCTCCACCAGTCAAACCCAGAAGAGCATGCAGGGTATGTGCGTAAGCTCACAATGATGAGTACTGAGCTTTTGATAGGAACATAATCCCATACCTTCAGTGCCTTATTTACTTCTTTTATGTCTTCCATCTTCAGTTTGGACCTAAGAAAAACAAAAACACCAGACCACTTTGTAGCAGAGAGAGATTGTAATCACTGCAGTGATAGTATGGTTCTGTGAGGATATTGTGACTAGGAAGTGAGGGCAAATCATGCTGTGAGTTGTTCTAAAATGCTTTCCACCTTTGTGTACCCCAGTCACCTCATTACACTCTGAGTCTGCCGAGGTCTAAGGCCTGCAAGGGTTAAAAAAGGGTTCACAGTGGTTGCAATCATATAAAAATTGAGTACGGTCTCATGGAAAGAACTGCAGGTCTCTGGCTTCTCTGGGCAGCCATCCCTGCATGTGAGGTGCTGGCAGTGAGTGAGGCAAGGGCTTCTGTGCTGTCCTCATCCCCTACCACTCTCCTCAGCAGGAGTCTCAGTCCCCAGGCTGCTCCCTAGCCCACGTTCTTGCCATCTGCTCTCCATCGGGCGCAGGCATAGCTGTTTATTCTTTCTCCATTCCATGAGTGTGCGGACAATTCTTCAGTACACATAAGGGACAGTATTGAACATAGTCTAACTTGGCAGAACTAAATCAAATAAAGTGAAACTACATCTGCAATTGAGGGGAACCACCTGAGCCCTTCTTAAAAGCTAAGATTAGTCTAAATTGTTATTAGACTGAGTGTCAAAATGGCAGGTCTCTGTGGGATCAGGCCAGGCTAAGGGGGGATTAGGAAAAGTGAGCATCAAGGCATTTAGAAACTCCCTATGGTCTTGACTTACTAATGGTCATCAGGCAGCACCGTGCCTCCCCTGTCCACCTGTGCAAATAGGCCATCAGTCTCATGGGATCAGAGGCAGCCCAGATAGACAGGCCTTGGCAAACCATGTCAAGATGGCAGCCTGACCACACAAGACTGCTGGGAAACACAATAGTGAGATACCCAGAGCCATTCCCACCAAGGCCATAAGGTTCTTTCTCATTTTTCTTTTTACTGATGGGATTGGCATTTGAATTTAGGGCTTTGTGCTTTCAAAGCAGGTGCTCTACTGCTTGAGTCAGTCCATTTTGTTCTGGTTACTTTGGAGATGGGGTCTGGTAAATTCTTTTCTTGGCCTGGTCTTAAACCTTGATCTTTTCCATCTCAGACTCCCAAATCTCAGATTATAGGTGTGAGCCACTGATCCCCAGTTATTTTATTCCTTCTTTCCTTTTTCTTTCCTTCCCTCCTTCCTTCTCCCTTCCTCCTTCTTTCTCTTTTTTGCAGTACTGGGGTTTGAACTCAGGGCCTACATCTTGAGTCATTCTGCCAGTCCTTTTTTGTGATGGATTTTTTTTGATAGGGTCTTGCAAACTATTTCCTCAGGTTGGCTTTGATCTGCAATCCTCCTGATCTCTGCCTGGCTTCTCGTTTTTCTTAGCAAGGACATCTTCCAATGTTCCAGACTGAGAAACCCCGCCCCCCCCACCCTCACCTACATGCTACTTGAATGTTTTTCTAGCTTCTCTCATTTGAGTCTCATCTCTGGGATATGTATCCAGTGCTAGGCCTGAACCCAGGCTGCAGAGGTCACCAGAGTCCCCATCACTTGAGTCAACCTTGCATATCTGTGGGAGCCACACAGGCTCTGATCCTCCCTGACGGATGCCGTCTTACTGCTGTAGGACCAAGTCCATGTGTGAGGTAAATGATAAGCTGGACAGCAGAGGTAGGAGACAGAGAATGACTCCTCATGACTTTGGTAAGCCAGTTTGAGCTGGATTTCTGTCATTTGCAACCAAGAGTTCACTCATAAGGAGAAAAAGCTACCCACATGCTGCTTGGAAATGCAATAATCACAGAAAGGGACAAGCTCCACAACCCACAGGGTGGCTCACTCTCAGAGCCAGGTATCCAGAGCAACTGTCTGGACTAGGACACTGGTTGGGGAGCTTTCAAGTCAAAGGGTGGGAGTGATCAATTAGGGGCTCCGCTCCCTCCGTATCAGCTGGCCGAGAGGAGCTTCTGGCGGATCCATGTATCTACTCCTGGAGAGGCAGGTGGGCTGTAGTAGGCTTCTTCCAGCTCTGGCCAGACTGCAGGCTGACCCAGCAACCAACCCATCACCAATCAGGGCCAGATACTAAGTTAGTGAACAGGAGGGCCTGGTCACTAGAAAAGAATATTTTTGATGAGTTAATTAACTAGTAGTGTATTACCATCCCCATGTGGCTGGCAGATATCAGTGCTTGGTCTCCCGAAGCCTAACCTCATGAGGGATTTTTCTTAGCCAACTGGCAGGTCTCCCCATTTTGACACCAGGACGTAGGTCTGAGTGACAAGGCAGGCTAGCAAGCATGGCTAGGGCACACTCAGTCTCCAGCACCCCCTACCCCATGCAGATGGCAGGTGAGGGGAGCTGGCTCTTACTGGCTGAGGTGTAGACCCATTTCCTGGAGGGCTTGCTCCTGCTCCTCACAGACCTTCTGTAACTCTGCCTTTTCATCCTGGAGCTCCCGAAGCTCCTGAAATGGACAAACCAGGCATTTGACACAATCCACAATCTCAAAGTTTTATCTTTTTTTTTTTTTTTTTTTTTTTTTTTAAGGTTTAATAACCAGAGCAACATACAGACCAGACTGTTTGGAAAGAGAAAAAGTAGTTTTGTTGCATTACCACCATTGAGACAAGGTTCTTTTGTGGATTATGGGCAGCTGGTAGGTGAGTACTATAGGAGTAGCTCTCAGCTGTGGACAGGGGCCAGCTACATTCATCAAGTACATTAAAAACAGTTACCTTTACAGGGTAAGTATGGCTTTGCCCATCTGAGCTTCTATTGAAGACAGATACTTTAAAAATAGACAGCTATCTTAAAAATATATAGATGAGCTGGGTGCTGGAGGTCATACCTATAATCCTGGCTACTCATGAGGCAGAGATCAGGAGGATCTCAGTTAGAAGCCAGCCCTGGGCAAATAGTTTGAGATCCTATCCAAAAATACTAACACAAAACAGGGCTGGCAGAGTGGCTCAAGTGGTAAGAGCACCTGCTTAGCAAGGGTGGTGCCCTGAGTTCAAAACCCAGTACCACCAAAATAAAAAAGAAAAATTAGAAGGCACTAGTCACCTGAACAAAAAGGTAGCTTTTTGTGCAATACTAAAAAGATGGTTTTTAGAGAAGGCTGACTAAGGATGATGAAAACCAAGACCTGTCACTTCATGAACTGAGAGTGGCAGGGTGTTCTGGAGGTTTGTGCTGGATGGGACAATGCAGATGACCGTCTATCATCTGGGGCTAGCACATGTGGCCAGGATGGAGAAAGTAATGGTGTTTTCAGGCTGTTGAGAGCAGTAGTGAAGCTCTGACCCAAGGCCCGTTAACAGCAAAGAGAACTTTCTAAGGTCCTCTCCTGCTAGTTTTCTCCCTTCCCTTCTCTGAGCCTGATGCAGTTCTGGATGACTCCTTCCTTCTCAGTACCTTGAGGACCTTTCCAAGAGTAACCAGAAGAGCCTCTCAGCCTGAACCACACAGAAGCATCCAGTACTGGGGTCAATGAAACAAATCGACATCTGGAAGCTGCCCCAGCTCCTGTGGATCTTCCTCCTGAAGGTATGCTGAGGGCAGCTTTCAGCTGGGTCATGCTGGTGCCCAGGACGGCATCCCCACAGACAGGAGCCAGGAAGTCACAGCATAAGCACACCAGCCTACACTATGTCTATCCAGAATGGCCAAGTTCTTCTGCCATCTGGAAAGATGGCAGGTGACTTTACAACGAGGGGAAAGATTTCAGACTGCTCTGAGCTTCCTGGGAGGTCCAGGTCTACCAGATGGTGATGCCAGGCCAGCACACCCTCAATCTCTGAAGCCTGCAGGATCCAGGCTATGCTTTCAAGTAGGGTGACACAAGGAGGAAATAAGAGGGCTTGGGTCTACCCTAGGGTTGATTTTGGGGTCTGGTTTGGTCTGCTTCCCAGGGATGACGTGACCCAGGGATGACGTGACCCTGGTCAGAGAAGATATTTGTTGCTGGTTTCATTGCTCAAACAGAGTGGATACAGCTGGGCGCCCATGGCTCATGCCTGTAATCCTAGCTATTCAGGAGGCAGAGATCAGGAGGATCGCAGTTCGAAGCCAGCTGGAGCAAATAGTTCAAGAGACCATATCTTGATAAAAACCATCACTAAAAAGGGCTGATGGAATGGCTCAAGATATAGGCCCTGAGTCCAAGCGCCAGTACCACAAAAACCAAAACCAAAACAAAACAAAAAACCAGTGGACAGCTGACCTGAAAGGCAGTGCCTCAGCAGGGTTTCTGGAGAACACCGGCTACTTACCTTCTTCAATCCTTTTACCTGCTGCAGCTCTGTTCGGAGGAGAGAGGAAGTGTCTTTCTCATGCTGCAGTTCTCTCTGAAGAGCTTGTCTTTGCTCTTTTTCTGATTTCAACTCTTTCTCTAGACTTGAGCTGTTTTCCCAAAATGAAGCAGAGTTAGTCTCAACAGAAGATTTTCATGGAAGAGCCACAATCCACCACATAGGAAGTGGGGGACCATCTGAATTGACACATGGACATGGATAACCTTCAATAAGGCAGTGAAACCAGGCCTCTTGCTCCCCGCCCCCCAGGACCACCTTTGCCTCCCTCAAGAAGCCTAGGAACTGCGAGGCGCACTATGCCAATGGGGAGGTAGGAAAACACTGAGGACCACATAGCTGTCCTTTCCCGGGATGGAGACCGAGCAGCAAAAAGCGCAGTACTGCTGCTTTTACAGCCTGCAACCAGCAGACAATGGGGGATACTGGATGGGGTGGGATGGTGGTGGGGAGTGGAAACAAGTGACGGAGGTCTGGGGCAACCTCACTCTGAATCCTGACTCCCCTCCTCTCACCACCTGAGTAGGCTGGGGACCTGGCTGGACCCCTGAAGCCCACTTTCCCATTCTCCTTTGTGAACCCAGATGGGTTGTGTACACAGCACACATACTCTGCTAATCCCAGCCTTGCAGGGGTGAGCTCTGAGCTGGGATGCTAACTGTCCCCAGCTCTTCCTGGAGACACCTCCCTCCCCAGCCCTCCCAGTTGTTCCCTGCCACCTGCCATGGTCCATGGGTTCCTACCATTGCTCGTGCAGCTGGGCCAGCTGCAACTGCAGGGCACCAACCTTCCCGCCAAGCTCCTGCTGCAGCTTGTGGCTCCGTTCCTCAGCCCCCTGCCTTGCCCTTTCCGAGTGGTGTAACCTAGAGGCAATGCCAAGTGCACACATGGGCTCCATCTTTGTAAGGAAAGGATCGTCTATCACAATTGAAGATAGAACTTTGTGCTGGCTTGAATTTTTTCTTTCCTTCCTCCCTCCACCACCTCATTTTTTGAGGCAGGATCTTGCTATGCTGTCCAGGCTGGCTTCAAACTTGTAACCCTCCTGCCTCAGCCTCCTTAGTGCTGGGATTACAGGTATGAATCAGCATGCCCAGCTTTCTTTTCTTTTTTTTTTTGAGATGGTTTCTCTGTGTTGCCCATGTTGATCTCAACCTCTTTGCTCAATTGACAGCACTAAGCCCAGCTTTTTTTGTTTTAGAACACACAGTATAACTGATGTCTATTAATTCCTGAGTTCTAGAGCATTACAGATTTGGACACAGAATAGCTCCATCATCCCAGCTTCCTAGAGCAGTAGCTACATCCTCTCCTACCTCAAACCCCTGGCAACCACTTATCTGCTCTGGGACACTATGGCTGTCTTTTTGACAATGTAATATATGGAGTTAAGCTTTATAAAGCCTTTTGAGATTTGATTTTTCCTCTCAGAATGTCTTTGAGATCAACCCAAGTTCTGTGTGTGTCTCAATGATTCATTCCTTTAATGACTGTATAGACAGATGTACAGATAAGTGTGTAGACAGGTGTGTAGATGTACAGACAGATGGTTTTGGGAATAAGGAATACAGCTACTATAAATATTTGTGTATTTTCTCTTTTGTGGCTATAAGTTTCATTCTCTTTGGCAAATGTCCAGGAGTGGGATTATGGGGTCAATGGTAAGGAAGCTATTTAGCTTTTTAAGAATGATTTTCCACAGTGGGTGTATCATTCTGCATTCCTAACAGTAATGTAAGATATTTCAACTGCTCTGTATCCTCCAGCACTTGGAACTGTCATTAAAAAAAAAAATTATCTGGGTGTGACAGCACACTCCTGTAGTCCTGATTGCTGGGGAGGAAGGCTTGAGCTCAGGAGTCAAGGCCAGCTTGAGCTGTTCTGACAGTTGTATGTTGGGATCTCATCATTTCTCTAATGAACAATGATGCATCTTTTCATGTATTTATTTGCTACCCATAACTTCTCTTTGGTGAAGTGTATGTTTAAGTCTTTTGCCCCCCTCTTTTTTTTTGATAGAACTAGGTTTGATCTTAGGGTTTCGAGTTTTGCGCTGTACTGCTTGAGCCACACCTCCAGTCCATTTTGCTTTGGTTTTTTTTTTTTTTTTTCAGCACTGGGGTTTGAACTCAGGGCCTCACAGGCACCTTGCTAGGTGGTCTTACCACTTGGCCCACTCCACCAGCCCTTTTTTTAGATGGGTTTTTTTGAGATAGAGTCTCTCAAACTATATGTGAGGGGCTGAACCCTTGCGATCCTCCTGATCTCTGCCTCTTGAGTACTAGGACTACAGATGTGAGCTACTGGCACCCGGCTTGCTCTGGTTATTTTGGAACCAGGGTCTCACAAACTATTTGCTTGGGCTGGCCTCAAATCATGATCCTTCCAATCTCAGCCTTTATAGGCATGAACCACTGGCACCTGGCTTTTTTTTTTTTTTTTCTTTTGAGAAAGGGGCTATGTAGCCCAGACAGGCCTTGAACTTGAGATCATACTGCCTCTGCCTCTTAAGTACTGGTATTACAGAAATGGTCACCATATCTGGCTTTCTTTTGCCCATTTTTTCTTCTTTTTTTTGAGTTCTGGGGTTTGAACTCACTCTCCTGTTGAGCTATGCCTCCAGCCCTCCATTTTTTTTTTGGTGGTACAGGGGTTTGAATTCAGGATCTCACACTTGCTCCTGAGCCACACCCCCAACCATTTTTGCTTTATTTTTATTTATTTACTTATTTTTCCTGATGAGTGTTTTGCATTTTTCCTGTGCCAGCCTCAGACCACAATCCTACCTCCACCTCCCAAATAGCTGGGATTATATGTGTGTACCACTACACCTGGCTTGTTTTTGAGACAGGGTCTTGCTAACTTTTTACCCATGCTGGCCTCAAACTGTGATCTTCCTATCACAGTTTGTGGAATTATAGTGGAATTATAGGCATGAGCTACCATGCCTGGCCCTTTTCCCCTTTTTTCTTTTTGTGGTACTGGCATTTGAACTCAGGGCCTACACCTTAAGCCACTCCCCCAGCCCTTTTTGTAATGGGTTTTTTCAAGATAGGGTCTCGAAAGCTATTTGCCTGGGGCTGGCTTTGAACTGTGATCCTCCTGATCTCTGCTTCCTGAGTAGTTAAGATTACAGGCGTGAGCCACTGGTACCTGGCTTTTTTGCCTACTTTTTAATTAAAATATTCAAGTTGAGTTTTGAGAGTCCTTTATAGTCTGGGTACAAGTTCTTTGTCAGATATGTGACTGCAAATTTTTTCCAAACTTGTAACTTGCCTTTTTATTCTGTGTCTTTCATAAAAAAAAAAGTATAAAATTTTGAAAGTCTCATTTACCAACTCGATTTTTTATAGATCATGCTTTTATATTATATCTAAGAAATAGCTCTCTTTGCCTACCCCAAGGTCACGGAGGTTTTGTCCTAAGCTTTCTTCTAAGAGTTCTATAGCTTTTGGTTTTACATTGAAACATCCACTTTGAGTTAACTGTAGAGCAAAATGTGAAGTGGAGACTGGGATTCACTGTTTGGCTGGTCAAGTGTTGCAACATCACTTAATTAAAAGACTATCCTTTCTCCACTGGACCACATGGCACCTTTGTACAAAGGTGTAGGTCTATTTTTGGACTCTGTTCTGATCCACTGCTAACCTGATTTTTTTTTTTTTTTGGTAGTACTGTGGTTTGAACTCAGGGCCTACACCTTGAGCCACTCCACCAGCCCTTTTTTTGTGATGGGTTTTTTTCGAGATAGGGCCTCATGAGCTGTTTTATGCCCAGGGCTGGCTTCAAACCATGATCTTCCTTATCTCTGCCTCCTGAGTTTCTAGGATTACAAGCATGAGCCATTGGTGCCTCGCCTGATCTGACATTTAAATGTGACAGTGGCAACCCAGTTACTGTACCATTCCAACCCTGAGAGGACAATCTGATACAGTGGCCAAAAGGCTGACTAAATGGACACTTTAAAAAGGTTGCTGTATCCAGCCCTTTTTTTTGGGCAGCTCTGGGCCCAAGGAAGGACAGTCACCCCAATCATCTGTGCTTCTGAGGGGGATTCTGTAGGTCTCTGGGCCCAGAGACCACCCAGTACCTTCTAGGGATGGACTGTGTGCTTGGGGAAGTGACTACCTTTCTTCCATTTGTTTCATGCTGGACATTACTTGATTGGTTTTTCCTTCAAAAGACGTGATGGCTTCATTCTTCTGCTGTAAACTGCTCTCTGCATTCTACAAAAGCAAGGAAAGGGATTCATCCACTGCCCACGCCTCCCCACACCTTCTGCCTTACAAACAGGGTCTCATCCTAACCCTGTGCTTTTAGCAGGTCTCCCAGCTCTACCATGGTAAGAAGGGCAATGAGGAATGTACTGGAGTCTGTTCCTCCAGAGTCAGGGCTGACCTGGTGGCCCTGAGCTGCCCTCATGGCTCAGGCACAATGCCAGTTCATCTGACCTCTGCAGAGTTCTCAGGGAAGGCATCCTCACCCCACTTTCCCCATCTAGAGAAGAAGGTGCAGGAAGAGAAAGTCAGTGACTGAAGCCAGAAGAAATGAGGCATGGGGCACCCACCGGTGCAGCTTCCTCACATCAGGTTTTTAACCATGACAGGTAATGAGTCACCAGGAGGGGGCACCATAGTATTTACAAGAAGCACCCTCAAAATAAAAGGATACAGAAAGGCTGAAGACAGAAGGCAGTCCTAATGAACTCCTTAGCAATAACATCCAGACTGTATTCTCTGACCTTCATATAATAAACTCACACAATAACAAGAAAGGAATGGTTAAAATACCTCATATGGAAACAAGACAGCACATTACCAAAAAAATACAAGCTAAAAAAAAGGAAATCATGAACTAACTACTGTACTGGAAGGTAAAACCTTGTGACACGAGCATCTGCACTTCACTGGAAGTGCACCAGGAAGAAAGAAAACCTGGTAACCGAAGCCTACCTGGCCACTGACCACAAGCGGCACATTGGTTTCAGAGATGAAAAAATGTGCTTCTCTGATGCTAAAATACTTTTGCCAAATTTTGAGGGGCAAGCTAAAAGTTCATTTCTTGTGGTGCTGGGGACAGAACCCAGGGCTTTGTGCAAACTAGGCAAGGGCTTTCCATGAGCCACACCCCAGCCCCTGAAGTAGCTCTTATGCCAATTCTTAATTTTGTCATGAAATAAAAACAACAAACAACAAATGAGCTTATAAAACATTTATCTCAGAAGATGGAAATGAATTACAGAGAAAACCCAGAGAAATGACGAAGTCCAACATAGGGCAATGTTTTTACTCCTAATACTGACACCAAATGTGTTAGTGTTTTCCACATCAACAACCAATTCTGAACCAATTGGGTGTCATACAGTTCAATTCAATTCTGACACCAACTGCACAGTTACTGCAGGTGCCACAGATGACAGGTATCCCACAAGCTGCCCTCACTTCTGACACTAGTAGTGGTTCCACTTCTACTTCTGTTGCCATCCACTTCTACTTCTGTTGACCCTGTTGATGGGGGAAGACTTGGCAGAGATGGGGGGTGACACTCACCAAGCAAGGGACGCCATGAATGCCAGGAGGCAGCAGCACTAGGACAGAAGGATGGGACAGGTGCCAACTTACAGACTCAGAAGATACCAACTCCACTGACACTGAACTCTCAGACCTCCAGCCTTCACAGCTTGAGGCAGGAGGTTTCTCTGAAGACATTCCTTTTGTGGTACTTTGTCACAGCAGCCCTAGCAAACTACTACAACTTACCAATGGCATCCTATAAAGTCATAGTCACTAAAATAATGGGCCATCAGACAGAACAGAAACCTCATAGGTTTTTTTTTTTTTTTCCCCTTCTTCTTTTTTTTTTGGAAGTACTAGAGTTTGAACTCAGGGCCTAATGCTTCTTTGCTACCTGAGCCACATTGCCAGCCCTTTTTGCTTTAGGTTATTTGTTCAGATAGGGCCTCACATTTTTGCCCAGGCCAGCCTTAGACCTTGATCCTCCTACCTACTGACTTGCTCATAGCTGGGATTACACCTGGCTTGTTTGCTGAGATAGGGTCTCACTAACTTTTTCCCAGGCTGGGCTTGAACTTCCATCCTCTTGATCTCTGCCTCCTGAGTAACTGGGATTACAGGTGTGAGCCACCCACCTGGCAACAGATGCATTTTTATATAGCTCTTTAATATATGATAGACAGCATCACATATCATGTGAGGAAAGAAAGGGTTAGCTTTTAAGGGGCTCACTATATGGGGAAAAACAAAACTCCCTACCTAGTTAAGGCCTTGTACAAAGAAAAGCTTTAGATAGATTAAAACCTCAATGCTTGAGGGTGGGGTGGTGCTTGGTGGTAGGTGGCAGGGAGTTTGCCCAGCATGTGCAAAGCCCTGGATTTGATCCCTAGCACTTTAAAGCAAAAACCAAAAACCAACCCACCCCCCCTGGAAAAAAAAACAAAACAACAGATAATAAAACTCCACCGAAACCTAAATGCAAAAGGTAAAATTAGTTAAAACACCATCTTTGACTCCTAGGCATGAGAAAAAACATCTTCACAAACTCCAAACCACAATATGAAATGTAAACACACTTAGCTACATCAAAGGTAAGGACAAGGTTACTAGTTAGATGGATGACTGGGAGAAGACACTGACCTATGTAAACTAATGCAGGGAGTAATACTAAAGACTACATGTGAAATTACAGCTAATTAAGGAAGAAAGGACAAGAGATTCCCCCCCAAAAAAGACAAAAATATGTCCAGAAAAGTCACAAAAAGGAAACAGTGCTCTCCTGGCTTTCTGAGTGGAGGGTGATGACCCCCCCCCCCCAATATGGAAGTTTCTGCACAAGGCAGAGCCAGGGAAGCTGGGTGTGGTACAAAACAGGTGCCAAGGGCTTCATGGACCTGCCACAGGGGAAGATGACTGCTGTGGGCCGGTGACTGCCATGTTTGTCTCCTGTTTCCCTTTCTCTAATGGCATGTTTACTGCGCATGTCTGTTTCTGCTCTGCCATCCGACGCTGCCTGCACTAATGTGAGAAGGGCTGCTATCTTCCAGCTCAGTGGTCACATGGACTGTGGCCTTCGAGGACGATGCAGGGATCGTGTGGAACTTCACAGCAACTCTCGTGGGGCCAACTGTAGTAGAGACAGTATGTGTCTGTCAATAAATATTGTCCCCTTCATGTGGCTTAGCCCAGAAAAGATGACAATCCCAGCATCTCCCTGAAGCCAAGAGTGGCCATGGTGACTAACCCTTTCTAGGAGAACTGACTGGGAGTGTTTGTGCAACTTCTGCTTCGCTGCTAGACAGCAAGTCCTTGGGGCTGGATGGTTTTCTCTTCGTGTCCACTGGGAGGAATGGTGACCAGAGTGCTTAGAGAGCTGGAGCTGCACTAGCCTAGGTCCCTGCACGACTGCTGGGAGTGAATCTTCCAATCTGAAATGCTGTCTGTGGGACTATGCTGTTACAGAGACATAAGTCTCCGTATCTTAAAGACGGTCTGCTAAATTATTATGGCAGTTCCCCCAATGCATACTAATTAACATTATGTCTACATATGGACCAAAAGCAGAAGAAAACCTGAAAAAATTAAAATAGATGACTTGTCAAGAGGGAGAAATTATTCTCCTCCTTTCCTTGTCTTGCTTCAGTTTTCATTGTTGCTATTAAAATACTTATTATGTAATAGTTAAAAAAGGAAAAAGTTGAGAGTATGGTTATCATATCAGTTATGTAACAGTTTAAGGCAGAAGAGTGACACAGTTTCTGTGTGTCTTCACATTATCTTTGACATAGATGGTACTGGAAGTGGGAGTGAAATCATGTTCATGGATAATAAAGTATGACTGTTTTGGCAATAAAACAGGAAACAGAACTTAAAAAAAATGTTTTGAGAAGACACAAAATAGTGTCCTTTTAGGTAGCCTTTGGAAAGGAAGCTTTTTAATTTTTAGATGCTATTTTTCAAACTGATTCTTTCTGGGCTACGTTCTCCTGGACGGCTCTGAAATGAGAGGCAAGCAGCTAGCTGTGTGGTCCAGGAGATTCAGCAAGAGTAACTTCATGGCAAAGTTGAAAAGATAGTGCTAAATGCTATCCTTAGTTCTCTTCTTCACCTTTTGGAATGCACAATTAGTCACTGAAACAGAAGAAAATAAGTAGCAGGGAGACAATGAAGGCATAATGGACAAAATCAGTGCATGGATTAAAAAGCCAGCAACAGCTCAGTTTTTGCCTCTACTTAACTGTGCCACCATAGGCATGTGATTTGGTTACTTGGTTCTGCCTTGTCACTCCCACTTCCCCCCATTTCTCAGGGATTACTGTGACGATCAAATAAAATAAACGCAATAAAGCTGGGTGTAGCAGCACATATATATACCCAGCATTTGAGAGGCCAGACGCGCTACATAGCAGGATCCTATTTTGGAAATAAGTAAATAAATAATAAATGCAATAATGTAGGAGGGCTGAGGCTCATAGATGTGGCTCTTAGTTCATTCTGCAGGGATGACAGGATACTAAGAGGCAACATATGGAAAGCAGCAGAAAACCTGGCTGTAACATGGACACGAAGCTACTTCCCACCTGAACTTTGTGAAACATCTGTAAGTTAATGGCTTTGACTTCTTCCAGCTGCTGGCGGAGGGCTACAAGCGTGTCCTGCTTCTCGTGGGTGTCCTTTTCCAGCAGCTTCATGGCTATTTCCATTTCCATTTTCATCCCAATTTGTAACTCCAGCTCTTTTTCTAGTTCCTTTAAAGGATATTTACAAAGAAAATGCTTGTAAAGTAGATCACAGAACACACTGAACTGAGCCTGTATCTCGGGCAGTGACTACGAGACAAACTCTAAGTCTAACAGGCTTAGAGGACTGAGGAAGGTCTGTCTGGAGCTTAACTAGACTAAGTTCCCCATTTTTCTCATCACACAATTACAGCAGGCTCTGCATCAAGTCAGCAAGCTAACTTGGCAAAATGAGTCTAGAGTTCTAGCAGACATGTTCCCCAAACCCAGTGGTCAGAACTCATGGTCCGTAAGAAAGTCCAGCTTGTACCTGGGAGCTGGGAAGTAACCAAGGTTGCAATGTTACAGTTTCTGGAATGGTTTGCTAGCTCATGGCAACCAAGGTACAACCACTTTGAAGTGGTTATTTATGTCCTGAATAACTGAGGACATGTTGCCCTACATTCATTCACAGAAGCAAAGGAATAAAAACAGGCGCAATAATTGTGTTTCATAAGAACTTTGGCCACTGACAGACTCAGTGGAAACGGCTAGGTCACAGGCTGACTGAGAGAACAGTACTGTCAAAGAAACCATGAATCTGGTTTCATAGCAACCTCTAAAAAAGGTTGCTAAAACAGGAACAAATATAAGAGCCAATGCAGAACTGTACTGTAAACCCTGAAAGAAAAGGAGAACTTCTGACTTTCTGTGTTAGCAAGTTTAAGAGTATCTGTGAGAAGCACATACAGACTCAACTTCAAGGTCCACTGAGGGCTCCCCTTCCTGAGGAGCTACCTTTCCCAAGGAAGTGTCTTACACTCACCAGTCGGACCCTCTTCTCCTCTTTTAGTTGCTTCCATACATCACTGTACATTTCATCCAGACCTTGCCGGGTCTGCTTGTAAGTCTCCAGCTCGACTTTGGTGTCCTGTTTTGTTATCTATATCAAACAAGAACAACGAGAAGGATGGTTTCTCATGAAAAGCAAACTAGCTAAGATGTATTTATAATATACCATAGTTTTTTAAAAATGCAGGAGTTGTTTTCTACTTTTTGGGCATGATAAAGATTAAATTCATAAAGATATTAGAACTTGAAAGATGAAGGATGAGAGCAAGTGAATAATTTTTTTTTCTCTTTTTTGGAGACAGAGTTTCCCTGTGTAGCTTAGGTTGGCCTTGAACTCCTGATCCTCCTGCATCAGCTTTCTGAGTGCTGGGATTCCAAGGTGTGCATCACCACACTTGGCTAAGCCAACAGATTTTTGTAAAACAAAAGTTAGGTTATATAGCAATTTTATTTAATTTGCTTTGAAAGAGGGCAGCCTTTCTGATGGGAAAGGCTGTCAATCAATCCACTATTCAGTATTTATTGGCCATGTTTTTACTTAGCACTGGTGGATTTAGTAGAGAATCAGATATGGTTTCTACCCTCAAGTCATCAGGAGAGACAGAGCTGCAAGCTAGCGATTCTACAGATCTGTGAACTCTGTGATGGAGGGTGTACAAAGAGCTATGGGGAGTGGGAGGAGGGCTGAAGTCCACCATGGGTGCCAGGGAAGGCACTCAAGAGGACTGAGCATGTGTGCAGACAATAAAGAATGAACAGGAACTTTGAAGTGCAAAGGCCCAGAGGTGAGGGCATCCGGTGGTCCAGGTGGCCTAAGAGTGCCATGGGTGAGGATGGCAGCAGGAGGTACTTTCTGGTGTCAAATAAGGAACCTTTTTGCACATAGTGGAGACTGGGTCATTATTAACATACAGTCAGCCCTGGTATCTTCAGGTTTTATATCAGCAGATTCAACCAACCACAGATAGGAAGTACTTGGAAACACAAGAAAAAAACTCATCTATTCTGAACATATACAGACTTTTTTCCTTCTTCTTCTCTCTCTCTCTTTTTTTTTTTGTAGGACTGAGGTTTGAACTCAGGGCTTCATGCTTACAAAGCAGGCACTCCATGGCTTAAGCCACAACTCCACTATATTTTGCTCTGGTTATTTTGGAGATGGGGTCAGAAAAACTATTTGCTTGGGCTGGACTTGAACTGTGCTCTTCCTGATCTCAGCCTCCCAAGTAGCTAGGATTATAGGCATGAGCCACCAGCGCCCACTCTTTAAACAATACAGTGTAACAACCATTTACATGGTGTTTACATTGTGTTAGGTGCTATGCGTAATAAACAAATATGACATCATTTTACATGAAAGAATTAACTATGCCTGAGTTTTGGTATCCTTTTGGGATGGGGATCCTGGAACCAATTCTCCACAGACACCAGGAATGACTAATGACTTCAGGAACTTGAGACCGACTGACAGTGGGTCCACGTGAGAAGCACGCTGTCAACTGCAAGGTCAATTCCTCACCTCTACACTCTTTTCACTTCTTTCACGGATTAACTCATTTTGTTCTCTTAATTGCTGCTGTTCTTCTTGAAGTGAACAAATCCGGTCTGTTGCAGCTGAAAGCTGATTAAGAAAGAGTTTTTAATGTTTCTTAATGTAGAAATTAATCTTGTGGTTCAAATTAAAAACTGACATTTACTTAGCATCTTCACAATTCACAATGTAGCTTTACATTTGATATTTTATTTTCTTGTTTTGAACAGGGCATACATGGTTCAAAATTCCAAAGAAATGAAAACATATACAGTAAAATCTCTCCCATCCACCCCATCTCTGCCCTACACAGATATTTTTCCCCTTTACAAAAATAGTAACATATTCAAAAAAAAAAAAGTAACATACTGCTTCACATGGGCAAAGATTTATGGACACAAAAAATTAGAAATAGCCTGAATGTCCTCTATTTGAGAAATGGTAAACACATTACCATGGAAGCACAAAACAGAAATTATTAGTTATCTGAATGTTTATAAAAGTTTGTGGACATACTTATGATATAATGCCAATAGGGGGGAAAAAAGCAGGTTATATGGTATGCTCTCATCTGCAACAACAAAAAAAATCATATAGCTTAAAAATGCTTAAGAAGGGCTGGGGGTGTAGCTTAGTGGCAAACACTTGCCTAACATGTGCAAGGTCCTGGGTTCTGGGCATTGCAAAAACAAACAAATGCTTAAGAAAAGATGGAGACTGTCTATACCAAATGATAGGAAAGCTGTCATTTAGCAAAGAGATTATGTCCTTTTTTTGATTTGTCATTCTTTTCAGTCTTTTTTTTTTTTCTTGGTGTTGGTACTGGGACTTGAACTTAGAGCCTGGTGTTTGTTAGGCAGGCACTCTACCACTTGAACCACTCCACCAGTCCTCTTTTCAGTTTTTTGATAAGCAAAATTATATTTTATTATTAGAGGAAGAATTAAATAATTGGGGGTGGGATGGGCAGAATCCAACACAAATCAACAGAGACATGCCCTACAGGAAGCCTTCCTCTCTTTGAATGTGTTACCATGGTTTAGGGAGAAGCTTATGGATGAGATGCTTTCATGGATCTGCTTAAGGAGAGGATTTCATGAGGCAAGGGATATGGGAAAATACCGGCAGCCAAGCCCCTCCTTCCTCCAGCCCCAGAACACAGCTTTCAGACAGAAGAGGAGGCTGGAGAAGTAGCAAGAAGCAAGACATTTGTCCTTGGCACTTGGCTCTGCTCTTAGCATCATTCCCCAGTAGAGGGACCTTGAGGTACTAAACTCTCTCCAAGCTCTAAAACCCCTCAGAATTTCTCTCCACTTAGACTCCGGAGCCAGCTGGGATTTCTAAGCAACTACTGTGCCTACTAGACAGTTTAAGTCTTTGGGAAGAAGCAGGCAAAAGTCATAAACTACTTCCCATTTATTTTGGAAGACACACAGGACACACCCTGGAGAGAAGAGTACTTCTCTATAAACACATCTTCTCTTAAGGATCATCTGCTTAAAGAAAACAACCCAGTTGTTTAGTTTCAAAGAAAAATTAGACCTTGAAAGCATGATACCTGGCCTGAAAACAAAGCATGGTCTGCTTGTTCTAAAATCAATCCACTCTCAAGCATCCCCCTCCACCAAGAGTACTGAGCATATTCAGGATATTAATCTGACTTAATCTTTACAATATTGTAAAGTACGTATTATCACCCAACTACCTACCTACCTAAATGGAGGCTCCAAGGCCTACCTACCAAGTGAGTGTGCATCTGCCAGTGCTAAGTACAGTGGCTTCTCCTGTGATTTTCCCACCCCATAAACACTGTCTTTCGATCTCCTACTCACGCAAATGCAAACTTTTCTCCTGAAAGTCTTTCAGGCTGGCCCTTCAGAAGCGAGCCTTAAACAGGAGTCCTTCATTACAGAGGTGTGCTCTCGGCCTCTCCTTTTGGCTGTACCCTGCCTCCACACTGGGGGGTATTCCTTTTTGAGCCCCTCTCAAAGCGCTCCTCTTTTCCAGTGAGACTAGGTGGGGAGGCCAGAGCACCCAGGGACCGCTACCTGTGGAAGCCTCAGAAAGGCTGAGCAACCCCCCTCCTGCTAACAGGAGACAAGATGTATCCACCAGGAGCCTGCCGGGCAGCTGGCAGCAAGCTTTCTTCCTCGGCCTCAGCCCTCCTTCTTCCTGTCCTTTCATTCTCTCTCTTCCTATTGAGAAAGCAGAGAAAGACCACGCTGTGGGGAGACTGGTTCCATGCTCCTGAGAGGCCAAAACAGAAGGGGTGGGCTAGGGTGCCTCTTGGAACAGAGTCTGTGCTTTCCAGAGCAGCAGGGAGGCACACGACATCATAGGAAAGGCAGAAAAAGAGGAAGAAACTGCATGTTCACAGCAGAAGCTGGGCCATTCCAATGAGGTGACAAAACCTAAGTCACTGAGAACTGGCTCATGGTCAGATGCAGTGTCTGGCTGAGAACCCTGCACAGGGCGCACACAGAAATCCTCCTGTCCCACGTGCAGCTCAGCCGAGGGCAGCAATTCCCTTTCCTTCCAGTGAGCATCTCTGGCCAGATGTACCAACTATACCATTTCTCTTAACCTTGGGTCACTGTGTTTTATTTAAGGATTTCAATTAAGTTACAAACCTCTTCTTGAAGTTTTGAATTAGTCTTTTCTAAGCCATCTATTTTGGTTTGAAGATCCCCAACTGTGCAGCTGTAGAAAATAAAAATATTAGGTCAATATGAACTTATAAAAGTTGATTGTGGCATCTGCCTAGCAAGTGCAAAGGCCTGAGTTCAAACCCCTGTACCACAAAACAAAAACAAAAACAAAATAAAAGGTGACTGTGTCCTCAGTGACCAAAGAGAAGGGAGATTCCTAAATTTCCCATATGTAATATATGTGTGTATGTGTGTTTAACCAGTTTTCACCCTAAAAAATGCTATTCATTTCTTTTATAGTTAGCTAGGAAAAATACTTTTCCTTTAATAGGCAACGGGAACTGAAGTGTGCTGATGGTCATACTTTTAACGTATACTCGTAAGTGCTGGGATGATCCCCGGGGCTGTGTGATTCCAAGCAGGTACTCTGCTGCTGAATTACACCTCTGGCCCCTTCTTCTCTTTTTAAATTCTATTTTATTTTACTTTGCTTTCTTTTTGATTCTTTTCAAGTTCATACATCTGTGAAGGGCTGCCAGCCTCTGCCGGCCTCTGACCCCACAGGATCTGATTCCAGAGCTTTCTACTTAAACAACAGGCCATATTGCCAAAGTCTAGTTCCTTTTGCTGGTGAGTGGAGGGAGAGAGAAACAAGCCTAGAAAGGCTAATGAATCAAGGTTCAGGAAATGGTGGGGAAAAAATAAAGACAGAGCTGAGTGCAGTGGCTCATGCCTACAATACAGCTACTTAGGAGGCAGAGTGAGGCCAGCCCAGGCAAAAAGTTCAAGAGACCCCATGTCAACCAATAAAACCAATAAAAATCAGGTGCATGCATGTCATTCTAACTATGTGGGAAGCATAAATAGGAGGATGGCAGTCCAGGCCAACCCAGACATAATTAAGAGACCATATTCAAAAAATAATTAAAGCAAAAAGGGCTGGGGGCATGGCACAAGTGACTGAGAGCCTGTCTGGCAAGCACAAAGCCCTGAGTTCGAATCCTAATACTGCCAAAAAATATATAAAATTAGAAAAAAAATAAAGATACAAAGACACAAAATGAAAATAAAAAGATACGAAGGGAATTAAAGTCTTAAAAAGAATATTCAATTTTCAATTCTGTACCAACTATACAACTTAGAAAATAGCAATAAAGTTTATTTTCTTTGATAAATATATACAAATATAAAATAAAAAGGAAAGTATGGAACAATTAAGTCCAGTTGAAGTAAGTGATTACATCTGTGATTGAATTTGCCATTGTGACGCAGGAATAGCTCAGCACAAAGACGTCCATTAATAACATCAGTAACGAACATTGATATCCCATCAACAGATTAAGGGACAGAAGTCATGATCACCCTACTGGCTGTGAAAGAGCATGTAGGGAAATTCAACATCTGTTCCTTACAAAATCTCTCAGACTAGGGGTTGATCAAGGATCTCCCACAAGCCAGCTAGATCATGGTTAAAAAGAGTCCTTATTTGGAGGAACACACCAACTTTTTCACCTGTATAGTTGACTTTTGGGGTCAGAGTCTGACTCTGGGAAACACTGTTAATGTGCAGTGTAGTCTCTAGAAGGAGGTTCAGAGTGAGAACATGTCTTCCAAAGACATTAGGCCAAGAGTCCTCCTACCTCCCTACCAATGCTTCCACAGACTGTGCTTCACGAAACAGCTTTCCAGTGAAAATTTAAAAAGTCAAGATACAAATGCCTGTGACCCATCCTCTGAAAGGTCTAGCCCAGCAGCTTGCAACCCTCCCTTCATGCTCAGGTGCCCTGGGTGTGGTGTGCTGCTTCCCAGCAATGGCAGGGCTGGGGTAAGTGGTAAGGTGTTTATGGTATTTATCTCTATACTATATTACCATATACCTGCATAAAACAAAGATTTCTGAAAAGCTGTTTATTGAGAAGAAACCCTGCTTTCCAGTCTATGCACATGAAAGCTGCTTGAATGATTATAATCTTTTTTCTTAGTTTGGAGAAGAGTTAGTTATAAATATATAAACAGTCACAAAAAACAGCATTAAGACACCGAGTATATAACCACAGCACTGGACAAAAGGCATGAGTCCTACCTTAGATGCCGGTTCAGTTCTTCCACATAGTTTTTTTGATCAAGGACATCGGTAATTCTTTCGTGCCTTATAGAAAGAGCATACAAAGGAAGACTTTTTTTTTTTTTTTATTATTTATGGTTGATACTCTGTAACTGTCTCCCAACCTTCCCATCACCTTGTCCCAATGATGTCTTCAGAAAACCAAGAGACAGAAGTAATAATCTCTGCATGGCCTGCAAATAAACAGAGAGCAAGGCTGGCCAGTGACATAGAAGCTGGGGCTCGGGAACAGGCTACCCTGGAGAGCAGGTGCCTGTAGACACCCTGACCCTTCTGCAGACTGGCCGGGCCTCTGAGATGAAGAAAGACCTGGGTGTGCATGCATAGTGAAAACACTACCTGCCACATGCAAGTGGCTCTGGCAGACAACACAGCCTTGTTATACTGAAAGAGGGTTCACCTGGGAGCAAGAATAGTGAGACTGCAAAACACATAGTTAAGCAGTCTAAAAGCCAGAGATGTATGGGTTAAAACCTTCAATGTTACAGCTGGGCTCACCCTCTAATTCTTTACAAATATGTATACATATGTAATTTACACAAATGGGACCACCCTATACAGGTTGGTGCTATAGGTGAGGTGCTAGGTTTGTTTTTCAGTGCAATTATTTTTTCTTTTACCTGTTCTGCCTTTTCTTTTCTTTTTGTAGGACTAGGGTTTGAACTCAGGGCCCTGCATTTGCCAGGCAAGTGTTTTACTACTTGAGCCATACTCGTAAACCCTTTTTGCTGTAGTTTATTTTTCAGGTAGGGTTTTGCTTTTGCCTGGGTCAGCCGTGGACCATAATTTTCCTACTTCTATCATCTGTGTAGCTGAGATTACAGTTGTGTACCAGTATGCTCAGCTTGTTTTTGAGATGGTTCTTTTTTTGTTTATTTTATTTATTTTTTTGAAACTGTGGGTTTTCTTTATGGGATCATTAAACTTTTTTTTTTCTTTTGGCACTACAGGGGTTTGAACTCAGAACCTCTGGCTTGTTAGACAGGAACTCTACCACTTGAACCACTTCCCCAGCCCTCTGAGATGGTTCTTGCTAATGTTTCTGCCCAGACTGGCCTTGAGCCATGATTCTCCCACTCTCTGCCTCCTGTGTAGCTGGTACTACAGATGTATGCTACCTCTCCTGGCCTGCTTAAGACTTTTCATTCCCTCCATATTTTTTTCGTTTTTCATTTTGTGTTCTTGTGTCTTTCTTTTTCTCCCACCAATTCCTGTATACCTTGACTCATTAGCCTTTCCAGGTTTGTCTCTTTGTCCTCATCACTGACAAAAGGGACCCATCTTTGGCAATATGGCCTGTGGCCTAAATTACAGACTCTGGGCCAGATCCCTCTTCTGCCCTCTACATAGCTTTCCCAGATAAGCCACATTAATGGCCTGTTGAGCATCCTTGTCTACGCATAGAATCACAGTATCTGTCTACCTAACAGACACACAGAACATATAATTAAAATATGAAATATATACCAGCGATGTTTTTTAGTTTATAAAAATGGAATATTTATACTACTCAGCACCATACTTTTCTCGTTCAGTAATACCTTGGGGAAAATTTGTCTAAGTCTACTATACTAGTAGCTAAAATTCACTTTTTTATATCTATACAATACATGGTATGGAATATTATGGATATTCCATAATTCCTTTAATTATTCCCTTACTTGGTAGATAATTAGCTTATTTCTAGATTTTTTGATATTAAAAATAAATTTTAAGGGCTGGTGGAGTAGAGCAAGTGTTAGAGTGCTTGCCTAGTAAGAATGAGGCCCTGAATTCAAACCTCAGTAATGCCAAAAAAAAAAAAAACCCCCCCCAAAACCAAAAAACAATAGAACTGCTCCATAAAAATGATGTTATAAAGAACTACTATGAGAAACAGTTCATTTAAAATAAATCAATAAGTTTTAAGCCCAGCATGATGGAGCATGCCTGTCATCCCAGCACTCAGGAGGATGAGGCAAGAGGTTTGCGAATTTGAGGCCAGCTTGGGCTATATAGCAAGTTCTAGGCTAGGGGGCTACATAGTGAGACCCTGTCTCCAACAAACAAAAAACAAACAGAATAAATTTTGCTGGGTGCGATGGTACATACCTATAATCCCAGCTACTGAGGAGGCTGAGGCAGGAGGTTTATAAGTTCACTGGGTAAGATAGTGAGACCCGTCTCAAAATAAAGTAAAAATGGGCTCAGTGATAGGGCACTTGTCTAGCATGTGTGATATGCTGGTTCAATTCCTAGTACTGACAAAAAAAAAAAAAAAGAAAAGAAAAAATTGAAGTTTCAAGTAGTTGCACCATTGTACTAGGGTGCATGAGGTATTTGTGGGATCCCTGGTCCCTTCATTGCTAAGGTACATTGCCAGGCATTGGCAGTGCTACTCAGGTAGATGTGTGACAGGCAGGTTAAGGCATGCACATACCCTAAGGGTTTACAAGAAAACTCCTTACTATGGCATCCTGCATAGGACAGCACTGTCATCATGTCCATGTGCTACTCCAGATGCTCCACGAATATGAAAGTATAAATATGCTTGCATCCCATTTCTTACAGCATAAATGACAGCATGTCTTGCACATGGTGATTACAGCCAGATGGTGGCTAGGGCTGGGAGCATCTGAAGCCTTGCTCCCTGCCTTGTCTGTGTTCTGGGTTGAGAAGACTCAGAGATCTGGGGATGGACAACAAGGCTGTCCATCTGCATGTGATCTGTTCACGTGATCTCCAGCTTTTCTCCCCTCTTGTGATTCTTTACTTAGATAACTTTTTATTAATAAGGATGAACGAGAGCTACACAGTGGGATGAAAAGACATCCAACACTCACTTCGATCAATGAAGAAGTCCAAATGCATCTAATACAGTGCCATCACTTAAATCCAAACAAACCATAAAGAAATTATGCTCTCAGCAAACATGCACCTTTAAGAAATTAACAAAAAGCCTAGAAAGAAATGAAAGAGCAGCTCCCTCTGGGGGAGGAGAGGGACTGAGATGGAGGTGAAGGGGCAGTGTGAGCAGGAGATGTCATGAGCAGGCTCTGCTCTTCTGCAGAGCTCAGTTCCTTAACGAGCTTAATGAGGATGCTGATGTATCACCTCTGTAGTTAAAAATAACTACATGAAAGCTAAAGTCCCAAAGTAAAAATAAGAGCCATGTTCTCTGCCAGAAAGTCACTAAAATTGAGAAGATCACCAGCACGCTGCCCAGTACTCACTCTTTGCTGCCATCGAGATCCTGCACATCCTTAAGGTAGAGGGAAAAGTCAATCACTCCGACCTGTATCAGAACAAAGGGCACAGGCTTAGAGAAAAGACAACACTTCCCACTGCCCACAAATTCATGGTATTCAATCCCACTACTAAACATCTTGTTGTTTATAAAGATTAACAAAAGTTTTTGGCAGTATTGGGGTTTGAACTAGGGCCTCACAGTTACTTGGCAGGCAGGTGCTTGAGCTACCCTGCCTGTCTATTAGATTTGATTGCAAAAAAAAAGAGAATTCCACAGGGCAAACCACTGCTAAGAAACTAGAAAAAAAATGTATAACAAAAATTCCAACAAAGTTATATTCTCAGTCTATAACAAAGAAGTAGAAAAAGATGGAAAACACAAAAATGGGCAAAGGATATGAACAGATAGTCATAAAAGATGAAGTACCAGGGGCAATAAAACACGAAAAACTATTTGACTTCCCTACCTCTCCAAACTATAAATCTGAGATGACTATGAGTTCTATCAGACTGAAAAGGCCCCACGACACCCATCACATGCCAGAAGAGGGTTCTCTGGCACATTGCTGGTGGGTGTAGAAAATAGAGCACTTTTCGGAGGTCAATTTATGCAATCTATCAAAATGTGGAATGTATATACTTCAATATGACAATTCCAAAATTTATCTTTTCATCCTTTTTCTGACTGTGTTTTGAGACAGGGCTTTGAACTTGAAATTCTCCTGCATCAGACTCCCAAGTAGCTGGAATTACAAGTGTACATTTTTATGTGGCAAAAATATATCCTAAGAAAATAAATGGACAAGAGTATAAAGAAGTATAAAAATGTTTATCATACTGTGGTTATAACATGAAAACCGTTTGAATGAATAAGGTATTGGTAAAATTACGGTATATTTATAAAATGAGCTGGGTGTGGTGGTGCACACCTATAATCTTGGCATTTGAGAAGCTGATGGAAAATTGCAGTCCAGCCTGGGGTACACAGCAAGACCCTGTCTCAAAAAAAACAAAAAACAAAACCAAAAAAATAATACTATGCAGCTATCTTAGAATGGTTTTTAAAGATGGTTCTATTGACGGTATCTTTATTGTCACTGAGTGCAGTGTGGAACATATTAAATTTTAAAAAGTTCAAATACCATGCTTGAAATATTTTTGCTTAATAAAATAACTCCTGGGCTGGGGACATAGCTAGAGCACTTGCCTAGCATGTAGAGGCTCTGGATTTGATCCCCAGCACCATAAATAAATATGTAACTGCATAGAGAACATGCATAATGAGCTGGGCACAGTGCCACACACTTATAAAAACAAACAAACAAAAACAAAACAAAACTCCCAACATCTCACTCTTAAACACACACACACACACACACACACACACACACACACACGGGCTCCTTTATTCTTATGTTGAATGAAAGTGTATATATCTCAGAGTAAAAAAAAATGGCACAATGTATGATGTTTAGTTTCTTTTCAAAAATACTTCTCTATATTTTTGAAGAACTTTCAACATGTAAAAACAATGAAACTACTAGGACCAAAAAGAAGGGTAGGAGAGAGTTTAAAAAAAAAAAAAAAGTTGACCTGTAGCTCAGTGGAAGAGTGCTTTCCTAGAATGCACAAGGCCCCACGTTAGATATCCGGTACCAAAAAAAAAAGTCTACCTGCACAAGGACGGACTAGGGAAGCCTCAGGTCCAAACACATGCTCTGTAGAGAGGGTGGAGGTGAAGGATGGGTCAGGGTGTCTGTTTCCCCTCAGATATTGCAGTCTCTTGACACCAAGAGTTTTAGGCCTCACCCCTGGTCACCATCAACCATGCAGAAAGAAAGCCCAAGCTGAGGGCTGTCCCTCCCACAGGGATTACTGTCATTTGTGTCCCATTTTATCAGTGTTTTTGCTGTCTCTGTCCTAGGCCACTTCTAACTTGTGATCTCAATGTCTGCCGGATTGATCTTACTCAAACCCAGGCCTGACCATTTCAGTGTAGTGCTTAAAAGCCTCCAACACCTTCTCTAAGATCAAATGATGAGTTAAACCTCTCAGCATGGCACTGATGGCTGGGACCAATCTGTGCCTCACCTCACTCTGGGCAACCTATGCTCCAGCCTGTTCCCAAACACACCAGGTTTCCCCAGCACAGCACAGCATAATGCCTTGCCAAGTCCTCTACCAGAGGGCTCTTTGCAAGACATTTGTCCTTAAAGATTCCCTGTACACCTGCTGATCTCATGTAAAAAACCACTGGCCTATTCATTCTATATACAGCCAAAGTCCCATTTTACCTGAGAATCCAAGTCTTCTCCTTTTAAGCAGAGATTGGCATCAAGAACGTTGAGTCCCACCAGCAGACCTACAATCACCATCCCTTCCTCTTCCATCATTAGAGCCTCGGGCTCATAGAACTCGCTGGAAGAGATCCACAGACAGGGGAGCTGCTCACAAATGCCATACTCCTCACTCCTCCATAATCACTCCTTTATACTTCTTGCTTCTTTGTACTCCTCACTCTTTAGTTCTAACCTGCCTGCTTGTTCAACTCTCAGCTGTCGGTCTGGTTGCTCACCTCACCTGGCACAAGCCACCTGCTGTGACCTTTCTTTTTCCATTTCCTTCTACAGGTCAAGTGCTGCCATTTCTTCTCCGCTATAGTTTGGACCTTAAGTGTCCCCCAAAGGTCCATGTGGTAAAGCTTACTCCAAGCTTGGTGCTTTGGGAGGTAGTGAAACCTTTAAGAAGTAGGGCTTTGAGGTCATTGGGGAGTATACTTGAAAGGGATATAATGGAGCCTTTGCCTTCCTCTCTTTTGCTTCCTGGCCAGGAAGTGACCAGTTTTTATTCCACTACTGCTCCTGCCATGATGTGCTGCCCTGCTACAGGTACCAAACAACAGACAACCAACCATGGGCTGAATCCTCTAAAATGGTAAGCCAAAACAAACCTTTTCTCTTGTAAGCTGATTAGGTCACATACTTGTTTTAGTGACAGAAAGCTGCCTAACACACTTTCTGGCCTCACCTTTGCTGTTGCTTAGGATGAGCGCTTACCTAATGGGGGCTCATTCCTCCATGGCGACCTCAGCGCATCCTTCTCAGCTCTTCTTGGCCGCTGAGTTCCTGTCACTCTGCCTTCCTGTGTCTTCACTGATAGAAACTACTTCTGCCTCCCGCTCTCCTAACAGGAGGCAGGGCCCCACGACTCATCACACGCAAGAGCAAAACTCTGCCCTCTTTCTTATGTCCTACTGAGCAACATTTGGGCTTTTACTTCCCTTTCCCCAGTTACCTTGCTCACCGGCAGTGGGGTACACGCCCTGTCTTTTGTTGCTTCTGGTTACCCATGGTTTGCCAGCTCACCAAACCCAGCAGCACCCATGCCAGTGTGCGTGTGTGTGTGAGAACTTACTGTCTCAAGAATAGCTCATTAGAACAAAACCGTAACTCAAAGTTACTCAGTGTGACTGTACTCAGTGAACACAGCATGTGAACGAGGTAAAATCAGTCTTTATCATGTACAGATATATTCATGCTCAGACATGACTGGAAAACACTGAAAAAATTGGATTTTAAAAATTAGGCTGTGCTGTAAAAGATATTTTTTATCATGACTAAAAAAAGAATTAACTCAAAAGATTCTTGCCTTGTAAATTTTCAGTCTAGAGAAAATTCCATTTATAATGACTTTTTGTTCACATAGCTATAAATACCAAAATGAACCATCATAAATTTCAGTAATAAGCCAGTTTAAATTTTTACTGATGTGAAGAGATAAGAAATTTTACAAAGTGGATATGGAAATTCTAAATGAGGTAATATAGGTATGTCTGCTTACAAAAAGCAGGATTTTGTGCTTTAAAATGGCACACTCTACCTAATTCAAAAGTTATTTTTTTCTGTTATTATCTAACCTAATAAATACCAATTCACAAAAACTTAGTGGAATAGGTTGTCAGTTACCAAATCTTAGTTATTGACATTTTTGAAGAATTATCTTCAAAATTTTTCAAAATGAAATTCAGATGAATCTTCTTTTACGATGATTGAGATACCAGGGGCCCTAAAAAAAATATTGCTAAAACTAAGTCATAGAACATTTAAGATTAATAACTTCAATAGAAGCTGTGAACATTATACAACTCTTATTTCAATTCAAAATGATCTATAGAACTATGCTGCGATTATTTACAAAGTGGAAGAGAAGCAGAGACAGGTGGTGAAATACCTTAAGAGATGCTTGTTGTCTACAAGCACTTTCAGATAATCAGCCAGTTTCTTTTGCATGAGAGCAAGATAAAGCCAAGCTCTGCCTCTTCCCACAGCTGTCCTAGAATTGAAACAGAGGACCAAACTGTTGTGGTTTAACAACAACAACAAACAGGAAAAAACTAAACAATCCTGAGTTTAGTCAGGGAGATGCCCACGTGTAATCCCCTTCCCCCACCGCTGAGTGCAGAGAACGCTGGTAACAGTGACTGTCTGGGGTTAGGGAAGGACATGCACCTATCTGGGCAAGGAGAAAAATGGCTCACTGCACACCTTTGGGTGCTGTTTGAATTTTGTATCATGGGTATATGTTTTGTGAGTGGGTATGTTGATGAAAGGAAAATTCCTCAGCAAAACATGATTTCTAGAACAAATGGAATTAGATAAAACTTTGCCTATCTTTGCAAAGTTTCATAGGGAGGCAGGAAATATGAACTTAGGTTTGTATAATGGATAGACAGTCTTTTAAAAGACTGATAAAGAATGTGGTATATGCCACAGTGTTCAACTTATAAAGATATCTAAGGTATTAGCTCAAAGGTGCATTTATTTATTTATTTATTTATTTAGGTGCTGGGGTTTTAACTCAGGGCCCTGCACTTGCTAGGTAGGGGCTCTACACCCCCAGCCCCAATTTTGTTTTAATTGTGTAATATATACACAACATAAAATTTACCATATTCACCAATTTTTTATTTTAGTTTTCGGCAGTACTGGGGTTTGAACTCAGGGCCTCACACTTGCTAAGCAGGTGCTCTACCACTTGTGCCATGCCCTCCATCCTTTCTGTTTTAGTAATTTCTCAGATAGGATCTTGCATTATTGCCTGAGCCAGCCTGGACCCTGATCCTCCTACTTATGCCTCCCAGCAGCTGGGATGACAGGTGTGCACCACCACACCCAGCTTGTTTGTTGAGATACATAAACTAAAAATGTATATTAACAAAAAAGGTATCAATGAATAGTGGCTATGGAAAAAAGTTTAAGGTCTAAAATTCAATGGGAAAAAGCTACAAAACAGTATGCAGTTTAATACTGTGGTTTTTTTTCTGGAATAGGCAATGATACTTGCACCTGGTTTTAAAAAGTAGAAAGTGCTGTATTAAAAAGTATACCACTGCAGCTGTCTCAGACCCCGTCTCCCACCCTCTTATTTCTTCTTTCTCATAGGTTTGCTTCGAAAACACTTCTATCTAGATGAAACAAGTGCAAAGATGAAGTTTTTCCTCTTTTAAAAAAAAATGAATACACTATATTGCTTATTTCACTTACATCTTGAAAATTTCTGCATACTAATATACAGAAGACTGCATTTTTTTTTTACCTTTAATGTTTCATTATTGGACTGCACCATAATTTATTTAGTTTTTTTTTTCACTCTAGGCTGGTTCTAATGTTCTGCTGTTACAAATAATAGAGGCTGGGCAATGGTGGCTCACACCTGTAATCCTAGCTACTTGGGAAGCTGAGATTGAGAGGATCAAGGTTCAAAGCTAGTCCAGGCAAATAGTTTGAGAGACTCCATCTCCAAAAAATAATCAGACCAAATGGATTGGAGGTATGACTCAAGCAGTAGAGCACCTACTTTGCAAGTGTGAACCCTGAGTTCAAATTCTAGCCCCACAAAAAAAACCAATTCTTTTTTTGGGGGGGAGGTGGGGGGACAGCATCTTGCTATGTTGCCCAGCTAGTCTTTTTTTATTGAATAAATTGATATAAAAAACTTGTTTTGTTGGTACTGGGATTTAAACTCAGGGCTTCGAGCTTGCTAGCCAGGTGCTCTACCACTTGAGCTGTGCCTCCAGACCTGTCCAGCTAGTCTTGAACTCTTGGCTTAAGTGATTCTCCTGTGTCAGTCCCCTGAGTAGCTGGGACTACAGGAGTACACCACCAGGCCCAGCTTTGTACGAGTCATTGCCATGTGCTATCATCTGTAGGATAAAATGCCCACAAGTGGAATTGCTAAGTCAAGGGGTAGCTGCAGTTCCCATTTTGGTAGATTATAACAAGCTATTCTTCATGATGTTATGGAATGGGGTCCGGAAAAAAAAATAAGAACAGAATCTTAATATTTTACCACACATTGGAAGGATCTGGAAGGATTTTCTGTAATGTTGGTGATTGAACCCAGGCTTTGTACCACTGAGCACACTCCTAGCCCTAAGGTTTTTTGTTTTGTTTTGTTTTGTTTTCCTTCCCTTAGGTAGGGATAATGGAAGTCTGTCTATTTCATTTTTCAGCTTGTTTTTACTTTCCAATTAAAAATTTGGCAATTAGAAAAAAAGTTATTTTTAATTTGCAAAAAAAAGGGGAGAAGCCTTGCCTGGTTTAAGTGCCAGTATTTGGGACTAGAGTTTGTCATGTTTTGTTCAATAATAAACCATGACATAGAAACAGTGAAAAATTTGGGGTGACAGGTCATGCTATAAATGATATCTCAATTAGATGAGAGTATTAAACTCTAGAGAGCTTCCTTTCAGAATGCAGTTTATTTTGCAAATTTCAGACTACTTTAAAAAGTTCTCTGCCCTGTCCCCATAACACAAATCATGTAGAAACTTTAGAACTCTTGTTAATATTTAATAAAACAGTAAAAACACTGCCACTGTTTATGAAGCAAAACAGTACCTCTTTCATACACGTCCTCCAACAAGGCTACTCCTCCAAGTGCCAAGCATAGGGAGCTACTGGGCAAGGCCCTTTTTTGGCAGACAGGGTGAGGATTTACAATATTTAAACTTGTCACTTGTTTAACAACATCAGGATTAATGAGGAAACAGATGTGGAGGATTTGGGTGACAGTGAGTTCTGAGTTAGAATAGTAAGACTTCTGAAATGCCTCAGGGCTGGGGGTGTAGTTCAGTGGTAGAGCTCTTGCCTAGTACGTGTAAGGCCCTATGTTTGGTGCTGAACACAGCAAAAAAAAAAAAAAGTCATCAAACAGAAAAGTTGGTACATGTAAAAAATCCTTTAAACTTATGCAGTGTAGGCCTGGAGGACGAACTAGAGACAGGGACATACAGGAGGCTGAGGTCCAATCTTGAAAAGAATGTACAGGGCTCAGCAGCAGGAGTTAGTGGGACATAAAGGGTGCAGAGGCACTTGCCAAAGAGCCTTGGGCAAGTTACTTAACCATTCTAAGTTGCAGTTTCCACACTTGAAAATGGAGATGTCAACAGCCATCCTGAGGATTGGTGTGGAGGATTAAGTAAGATAAGGAAAAGAAATGTCCTCAGTACAGTGCCTGGCAGTAGGGGAGCCTCAAGGTGGAAGCTATTACTACCTAAAAATGGAATAGGCTGGCTCCACACACGTGTCAAAGGCTGAAGAGTCAGATCCCCTGTGGGTGACTCTGCAGAGGGTTCCTTGACCTCAGCTTAAGGATTGCTAAGGCCCCTCTTAAATGCCAGACTCCATGCCCCATTTGTGTTCTCCCCAGCTTTTGACCATGAAGCTATGCATAGTGGTCCCAAGGGTGAACAGAGACATGGCAAATGACTTGTTGATCCCAGCCTAACCACAAATGCCCCTTGTCCTGGAATCTAAGATCGATTTAACTGTATTACTCAAATTGCTCAGAGGTATGGGAAACAGATTCCAAGAGAGTGACAGTGACTCCTTTTCCTTCTGTGACTGCTCTTTGGTTAACAACACCTTTAAAATCTGTTGTAACTGTGTGGCAAGCAGGAAACCAGTGTCCTCACCTTAAGGAAAAGATCATGTGGACAAGATGCAGCAGAGCTGGGGTTAAAGTCTAAGCATGGTTCATGCTACAGTATGTTCAAGTTAGAAAATATTTTGTCAGCAAGGAATTAAGAAATGGGTAAATAAGAGATTTGGTTTTTTTTTTTAAACATCACATTGGTTTTACTACTTCTCACTCACTTTAATTCTGGCAGATTTCTGACACTAGTAGCTATATCTGCTGCTTCTGGACAAAGTTTCTCCACCAGCTCCAAAGGACCAAAGAAAGATTTACTTTGGCCAATAAAACTCTTCTTAACTAAAAGGAAAAACAAAAGTGTTATTCGTAAGAACAGGTAGCAAAATTTTTTCAGGGCCCACAATCTGTCTTCCGAAGTTAAGTGAAATCTGCAGAGCTCTACTTCTTAACCCTTCTGATTCAGGCTTGGGGACTGGGAGAGGTGGAGTAAACATGGTTTCTCTGATATACCTACCACGTTCTTTCTCCAAGTACAATAAGGACTTCATGAGTGAAAAGCCCATGAATTAAAACAAGTACCTTAAAGAAGGCACCTGTGAAATCCTCCCCCAACCTTCCCTCCTGGTGGAAGAAACATCAGTACTTGAGTTCTTCAAATCATCACTGCCATCTCTCACCTGAACAGCTGTAGTAACCTAATTGGTCTCCCAGCTCCTAATATTGTCACCTCCCCACTCTTAAACTCTGTTCTGGACATGACTGGAAGGTCTTTAAAAATGCAAGTTGGGCCACGTTTCTCCCTTGTTTAAAATCCCCTGAAATCGCTTAGAAATCTAGCTCCTCCTTTTCTTGTCTTAAATTTGCAGCATTTCGTAATTGATTGTTTCTGGATTTACTGTCTGTCTTGTCTTCTAGAACTGGGCTGTCCAAAGCCATCACTGGCTGCATATACTACCTCCCAAGCGCTTCCAACGTGGCTGAGTGCACCTGAGGAACTGAACCAAGATGTGCTGTAAGTGTGAACATTGGATTTTAAATCCTTAGTGTAAAAGTGTAAAATGTCACTAAGAAGGCTTCAGAATCATGTCAAAATGACAATATTTTGGATGCACTGGGTTCAATAAAATGTATCATCAATATTAATCTCCCTGGTTTCTTTCTGCTTTAATCTGCTTATGTAGCGTGCGTGACATTTCTACTGGACAGCACTGCTCCAGACTGCAGAGAACTTGTCTGTCCTGGACACTGCTGCTATCCCTATACCCACAGCGCAGGGCGGGAATGGGAACGGGCTGAGCAAAGTCCGAGCCCACGAAGCCCCTGAGGCTCACCTTTCAGCCCATGTTTGAGGCAGTGTTCCATTACTACGAAGAACTGCTGCAAAGGGGCATGGTCGGCGTCCAGGCTGCGGCCCAGGCTAAGAGCGGACTGGAGCAGGACCTTGATGCTGAGCTTCATCATGTGCGTCAGGTTGGAGCGCTCCTCCATCATCTGCCCCTTAGAAGCTGTGGGGCGCAAGCGGGGACAGCTTCGTTAGTGGACTGGAGGCCTAGGGGTGGACATCAGGCAACGGAAGCAAGACGGGCTAGGCATAGGTCAGGCGTTCGCTCGGGGTGCGGACACGCTGGTGGCAGACAACGGGGGTTCGCAGTCAGCCGTCACTGGCCTCTTAGTGGTCCCCGCCCCATCTACAACGCCCCAGCATTGAGTCCGAGGACTGACACAGGTGTCCAATTCCAGAGGCCTCTCCTAGATGGCTCTGCGCGTTGCTAGGGCGACGGCTCTATGAAGACTTACCGTGATTGGCCCCTCTCACAACCCGTATCCCACTTTGAACCAATCAAAGAGCGCAAATGCCAGGAGGCCCAGTCCTAAACTAGAGAGCGTGCTGCGAGAACGTCCCGCCCCTAAGCGTTCCTATTGGATGAGTCCAGCCCAAGGCCACGCCCACGCGCGAGCGCCATTTTGTGTTCTCTGCCCCAGAAGGGGCGGATCCCCACCCGCTCCAGAAGCGTTTCTTGTCTGAAGGTTCGGCCCGGTTACTGCAGGGAGGAGCCCTTCCCCTATCACTGACTATTCTGAGTTTTGCATACTTTTTTTTTTTACACCTATAACCTCTAATGAACTCAGCTGCATTTCTATTCCACTAATTCTGTCTCTTTGCTTTGAGTGTTTACCCAAACCCAGGAAACTGGCATCCTAGAAATTAAAGATTTAGAACCCAAACTTAAGAGCCCTGGCAGGAAAACGAACCCCAAGTGCCCTCTTTTCCTTCTGGCGCCACCATTCGATCTCCGTGACTTTGCCAGTGGGGTTGGGGGGATGGTTGGGCTCAGCTTGGGCTCTGATGAAGCAATGATTCGTTGTTCTTTGCTGTCTAGTATGTCTTACGTGAACTAATTGTTCACCCTCTGAATTTTTGTGTCGAATAATTTGCCTTTGTCTTATTGACCTGTATATCCTGGATATGGGCATTAGGTTAGTATGGACATATTAAAGGAGTATATATACATACTATTTTGTACATATGTAAATAAACCTGTAGTTCAATCTAAAAGAACGATAATATGGTTGTGTATTTGTAATAAAAGTCGTAAGTATATATTGCCACATTTTGGGCCTAAAAATTCTAATTTCTGAGCTGGGTGTGGTGGTGTACACAAGGTAATCCTAGACCTGGGAAGCTAGGGCAGGAGGATTCCAAGTTTGAGGCCAGCCTGGGTTACAGATCCTGTTTCAAAAAACTAGCTAACCAACCAACCAAGTAACCAAACAAAAAATTCTCTAAGCAAAACCCAAGAAAATAGGAGAGAGCTTCTGGGAGTGAATCCAAACATTTTGTCTTGGTTGTGGACAAGTGGGTTAAGAAAACCCTTTTGGGGGGTGGTATAATTATTTTCAAAGTTCAAGAGAATTCTATGTATCAAATTCATAAAATTTAAGCCAGGCGCTGGTGGGTCACGCCTGTAATCCAAGGTGCTCAGAAGGCAGAGATCAGGAGGATCATGGTTAGAAGCCAGCCCAGGCAAATAATTCCTGAGACCTTATCTTGAAAATACCTAACACAAAACAGGGCTGGTGGAGTGGCTCAAGGCATAGGCCCTGAGTTTAAGCTCTATTACCAGAGGGGGGAAAAAAAAGATACACACACACATGCACACACAATTTAAGACTATAACAAAATGGATGATTGGCAAAGGAAATAAAAACTGTAAGACCTCTTCAAGAGGAGGAAGTAAACTTGAACATACCAGTAACCATGGAAAGAGTCTGTAAAGATTTATTCTTAAGACACCAACCCCAGTTCTGTAAACTTGAGGTCTTTAAGTCAGAAAACAGACAGGGTTAAGTGGACTGGGGAAAATGAAGCATGGGAAACAGCAGCCAGGAACTGAGAGATAAGCTCTGTGTTGATGAATAGCTTGACTGAAAGCACACAGGCACTATTTTCTTTGCTTTAGGGCTTACACTCCCTCAACACCATACAACACTTAGTAAAAAGGAAAAAGAGAACAGCTTTTTCTCTCTGACCTTGCCCGCTTGCCCAAATGATTAGTGCACTCTGGGAACTGGGCAAGGATAGCTTAAAGAAAGATAACTTGTCCCGAAAACAAAACATTTGAGAAGACGACTCCTTAGATCACAAAAGTGTTTGCAAAGGAAACTATTTACCTTGAAGTAGGACATCTATCTTGAATGGAGCATCTGGCAGAACCCATCCTCTGTTTAAAGGGAATGCCTGGACATCTATATCATAATGACCTAAAGTTAATAAAGATGCCAATCTTGACCTCTCTGGCCCTAATAGATAAAACAGTGTAACAGCAAGAAGGATTTGTCCAAAACAAAGAGGAGCACTTATCTAAAACTGGACTTGAGCCAACCCCAGCCTACTTTTCCACCACCAGTATCCTTGATGTTAGGGCAGTCATTGAACCGGTTATCAGATGTACCCGCACCTATGTCTGGGTTGTCTACTATCCTCCTTTGCTTTCCTTAACTAATAAACTTTCTTGGTCTCTACCTCATGCCCTAAAGTTCTTTTCTGCAACAACATCATGAACTTGGTACCCAAGGGCCAGGCGGAAGCTTCCTCTCTTTTGGAGACCTCCCTGGAGCATCACTGGTCCCTGTAACAAGTAAGACAACAAGCCCACTTCTGTAAACCAGTGGTCTTTAAGTCAGAATACATACAGGGTTAAGTATTGCCAAGGGCTGGGTGCCCAGGAGTCTCAAAGAACCCAATCTCAGGTGCTCAGGTTCACGGGCACTCGTTTCCTTTCTATGGAAAGGCAATTCACTCCCCATCTATCTATTATCTATTATCTATTATTTATCAATCAATCAATCAATCATTTGGTCCTGGTCCAGTGACCCCGGGTGCAGAATGCCTCACAAACCAAGAGGAGGTGAAGCCTCTAATGATTAATCAAGTCACCAAACATGGAAAAAGTTTCCAATCTCTTATTGCTTTATTGAACCTAGCTGGAGCTAGAGAGGTGGTCTCTAGCTCTCTGCTGGTAGAAAGTTAAAAAAAAAAAAAGTTTTGCTGGGCATGGTGGCTCATACCTGTAATCCTAGCTACTCAGGAGGAAGAGATTAGGAGAATCACATCTTAAAGTTCAAGACTTGCCCAGGCAAAAAAGTTTGTGAGAAGGAAGTAAAAGACTAAGGGAGAGCAATGGAAGGGGTTGAATGGATCAAAGTAAAGTTGACTCGCAGCAGGGACGCACTGAGAAACCCTTGGAACGTCAACTTAAATATTAATAAGGAAAGACAGGACTGTAAAATAGGTACAGCATGTGGGGCAGTTACTTGTGGGAGGGAGAGGAGAATAAAGGAGATGAAGTTGAAGGTATATGGTGGATGGACTTCAGCTAAAGGCTGGGCACAGGATGTGTGCCTGTCATCCCAGCTACGCAGGAAGCAAAATAAGATGATGATGATCCAGATCAGCCCGGACACAAATGCAAGATCCCGTCCCAAAATAACCAGAGTGAAAAGGGCTGGAGGAGTGGCTCAAGCGGCAGAGCGCCTGCCTAGCAAGTGTGAAGCCCTGAGCTCAAACCCCAGTGACGCCAAAACCAACCAAACAAACACAATTGATGGTGAATTCTATTACATTTTAGCAATAAATGATCTATATGCATCTCCTGACCACACTGATGATAAAAACCAGTATCATGTAACTTGAGACAAGTTTATTTATGTCTAACAATTATTTGTAAAAATTATATTCATATTCCTTTTACTAATGTAGGATTACTAATAATTTTAATGGTAATTCATTCCAAAAGAAATTTTTATACCCTTAGAGCTTTACTCAGGAGGAAAATTATGAATTTTAACTTACTTACATAATTTTTTGCTGTGATGAAAGGCTGTCCAGTAACATTTGTGTGTGAGTGTGGCACTGGCATTTGAACTCAGGGCTTTGTACTCCACTTCTTGAGACACACCTCCAGTCCATTTTGCTCTGGTTAGTATGGAGATAGGGTCTGCAGAACCATTTGCTTGGGCTGGCCTCCAACCTTGATCCTCCTGATTTCAGCCTCCCAAGTAGCTAGGATTATAGGTGTGAGCCACCGGCACCCAGTTTTTTGTTTGTTTGTTTTTTTTTTACAATTTTCAGTGGGTTTCATTATGCTACTTTCATACATGTGTGCATAATATACTTCTAGCATATCGACACCCCCCTCTTTTCCCCCTCCTTCCATCTTACTGGCTTCTTCCCCCAAACTGACCCCCCTTTTACATTCATGTCACATAGATGCATGCATATATAATCACTTATTATTAAGGAAAGAAACATTTTTGTAAGTTTCGGGTAGCTTAAATGTACAGTATTTAGTAAGCAGTGCAGAGTGATGTCCTAAGCCTCCACTCTCACTACCCACCCACAGCAAGCTCCACCCATGGTAAGTGCTGTGAGGAGTGCCACGTGTGTCCTTTTCTGTATTTTCACGGCACCTTTGGATATGTCTACATACACAACGCTGCTGTGTTACAGTTATCTACAGTATTCAATAACGTGTGATGACTTTGTAGCCCAGGAGGGAGCGCAGTTATGCCCAGTCAGCTGGCCAGATCATCTAGGTTTTGCACAAATATCTGCTATGATGTTCAGGCAACCAAAACTGCCTAACAATGTGTTTCCCAGGACTTGCCCCATTTTTAGGTCACATGTTTACTGTGTGCCAGGAACTGTCTGAGAGACTTCCAGAAGACCCTGTGCTGTGACTCTCAGGACTGGATCCTGAGGCGCACAATGAACGTACAATGAAGCGTCCACCAGCTGGTGGAAAGGTCTCCAGAAGGATGTCAAGCCAATGGGGAGCAGAGTTCTGGGCTGAGCAGACTCCCTCCTTACTCCCCTCCCAGTCCCCCTTTTTCTACTGGCAGGATCAAAAGTGACTCAGCTTTTATACTTTACTCATTAATTCTTCTCGACTACAGAAAATCTCACAAGTCACTATTCCGATGTGAGAGCCGACATTTGCAGCAAACGTACCAGTGGCTGGGAGGGGACACCCTAAAGACCTACGATGCTCTGAGAAAGCACGACAGGTGGTCAGCTCTGTCCCGTGGCATTTTCTGTCTGTTCTGTGCTATCCAATACAGTGGCCACGAGCCACAGACAAGTTACTGGGTAAAGTGTGCCTGCTGTCACTAAGAAACTCAACTGTTAATTCAATTAAAATTGTAGTTGTCTCTGGGTATCCACAGGGGACTGGTTCCAGGATCGCCATGGATACCAAAATCCATGGAGTATTTGCATATAAACTACACATCCTCCTGGATGCTTTAAATCATCTCTCGACTACTTATAACACCTAATAACATGTAAATGCCACGTATCGTCCCTATACTGGGTTATTTAAGGAATGACAAAATATGCACGTGTTCAGTACAGACAGTTGTGTCATTTCCCCCTCAGCTGGTTGAATCCCTGGATGCAAGGCTGACTGAATTCAATTTCAATTTTTAAAATTCAATTAAAAAATTAAAAATCGAGGAGCTTAATTTTAATGGATTTTAATTAATTGTACATTTAAACACCACACGTTTCTACTGGCTATTTGTATTGGCTTGCACAGCTGGAAACACTTGGCTCATTTTGCGGGAGGTGCAGCTTCAAGTGGCAGAGCACCTGCCTATCAAGCAAAGCCCTGAGTTCAAACCCCAGCAACACACACACACAAACACAGCTAAATATTTGACTCATAAGGCTAAGTAAAAAAAAAAAAATCTTAACATGTCTATACTCCTCTCATTGGCACGCCGAAACTCTATTCTAGATTACAACGGCTGAAAAGGACATTAAAAGATCACTGGTAATAATAATCACCTTCCCCCTTTTACAGGCTGAGAAATGCGAGTGGCAGGGTGGATAAGTGGCAGAACTGGAGGGGAACCAAAACCTGCAGACTCCTGACGTGGCACTCTTAGTCCGTCGAGAGTCAATTAACACCTGCAAGAGTGTGAAAGGGGCTGGCATCTGCGATTTTCAAGAGCAGCACAGCACTACGATCAAGTATTCAGACGACTTGCGTCCTAACCCTCGCACTTCCTTCTCCACTCTCAGTGCAGGGCACAGTGCGCAAGTTCAAGTGCAAGGACCGACCGCAGAGCCCCGCCCCGCCCCCAGACCCAGGGAGTCTCCACAACTCGTCGGACCGGCCAGGTGGGGTGCCCAGCCCAGAGCAGCCTCGCCGCCGCAGCCGCGTTCGCGCCCGAGCCTACCTGCGCGCGCCGCGCGCTCCCCGCCGCCGTCCCCCGCGCCCAGCCCAGCGGCCGCGCGCAGCGCGCTCCCGCAACTCGCCGACAGGTTCCCCGTGGCCTTCCGCGCCAGCGTCAGGATGGGCGCCGACCAGCTCTCTGCCGGCGTCCGGGTCCTGGCCGCGCTCCGCAGCTCGCCCGGGCTGGGCAGCTGGCTGCGGTCCACGATCTCAAACTCTTCTCCCGGCTCCGGCCCGGGTCCCGGAGCTAACTCCGGCTCCCGCCCCGCCGGGCCGCCGTCTTCCCGGTCGGCCATGTTGGCCGCGTCACGTGAGCGGCGTGCGGGCGGGCGCGGACTCGGCGCGGGCGGGCCCTCCTGCGCCCTCGCGGCGCCCGGCTGTCCGCGCGCCGGCTTCCTGCTTCTCGCCGCCCTCCCGGCCGTGGTCCGTGTAAACGAGGCTGGGGAAAGTCGTCCCGCAGCGGAAGGAACACCGGCTTCCCACCGGCCCCGAGCCCTGTTCGCACGGACGCTGCTCTTGAGTTTGAACTTGCTCCTTCCCAGACTTAAGCGCGGCTTGCATGGAGCAGGCTCCCTATCCCCCTTTTCTTCGTGACACTATTTCCTCTCTTTACGTCTTCATTTCATAGCTAGTAATTTCTACTTTGTCTTTTTTTTTTTTCCTGCAGCATTCTTCAGAACAAGGCCAAAAAGGGCTGCTTAGGAAACAGGGCCACGTGAGTCAGGAAAGCAGAAAAAAGATCTTTTAAATCCAGTGACCACATACGACAGCGTGGCAGGAAAGGTGTAGATAGGGTGGTGGACTGGGAATTAGAAGATCTGGATGTGCTTTAATTAGTTAAGTGGATACGAATAGAATTGACCTCATTACTAAATTAGCGCCTGCGATTGCTGTCTGGTCTCCAACTGTGCGGCCTGGGCAGTCCCCAGACTTACACAGTTACTCAGTCTGCATCTTCACCTGGAAAATTGATTTCTTCAGAACTTAAGCGTTATTGACCATTTCAGAATTAATTTACGTTAATCCACAACAATGCTGCTCGATGCTGCTTTTGTGGGGTGTTTTTTTTCATTTTTGTTTTTTTTTTGAGATGGGATCTTGCTATGTTGCCCAGGATAATCTTGAACTCCTGGATTCAACAAATCTTCCCATTTTAGCCTTCCAAGTAACAGTTGAGGGCTGTACTAACGTGCCCAGCTAACATGGCATTTATTAAACACCCACTTTTGTGTTAACTAACCACTCCCTCAGTAATCTGTTGATTTGTTCATTCATCAGTCCCTGAGGGGATCAATCCACTCACTTCCCAAAGATCCCAGCTTTCAGCACCACTGCACAGGGACCCAGTTAACAATACGTGAGCGTTTGGAGGACACACCCAAACCAGAGCACTTAGAGAGTTTTAGTGAAGAGGATTTGTGTGATTACTTTAGGTACAAATAGTAAAATTTAAAAGACACCCAAACTCAGTATGTTATTCTCTATAATATTCCATATGCTTATAATGTCAATAGAAATTAAAAAAAAATCATTTTCCCAAAGCATTTGGCTCTGTCCCTCCTGACACATCCTTTCTTTTGAGATAGGATCTTCCTGTCACGCTTCTGGAATCAAGTGATCCTCCTCCCTCAGCCTCCTGAGTATATACAGGATTGATTACAGGTGTATGCCACTGTGACCAGCTGGTCATACTGGGTTTTTTAATATAAATTTTTTTCAGGATGTATTTGTTATACAGGGGGGAATTCATAGTGAGAATTTTGATCAGGCTTATATTGTCCATTAGTTACATTGCCCCTATAGTCTCTTCCCCTCAGCCCCTCCCCACCCCACTTAAAGCAATTGCAAGAGGTTTCTTTGTTCTATCTCATATAGGTACATGAAGTCCATCAACCATAACATCCTTCATTCACCCTCCCCCTCCCACTAGTACCCCCGTTGCTAAGCAGGTATTCAACTGCTTGAGCCACGCCTCCAGCCCCCCATGCTACCTTTTTTGCTTTAGTTGTTTTTAAGGACAGGTCTCAAGTTTTTGCCCAGCACCTTCTTGCTACTTACGCCTCCTACCTATGCTTCCCACATAACTGGTTAAAGCCTTGTGCCATAATGCCTAGCTTACTGATCGACACAATGGTCTCACTAACTTTTTGTCCAGACTAGCCTCCAACCATGATCCTCCTGTCTCTGCCTCTTGAGGAGCTGGGATTACAGGCATGAGTCACATACTCAGCCCTCCAGAATTTATTTCTTATGCCTTGGGTTTCACCTGTCTGCTGCTTTGTCCAGAATGTGACTCTACCCTCTGCCTGTGGCCTGTCACTCTCACTGTTCTTTTTAATCTTTTTCAGGGTTTTCACCAGAGTTCTCAGATCCTGCCTCTCAAACTGACCCTGCTCTTTTATCCTCAGCTGCCCACATGGATTCTCCTCTGGTCTTTGCAGTTTCTTGTCTGGGATTTTCCTGCATCTGGAGGTTCAGATTTCTTGGTTCTGTCTCTGTTCTTGATCCTGCAGCTCAAAGACTTTATTTATTTTGGTGGGACTGGAGTTTGAACTCAGGACCGCAAGCACCCTACCGCTTGAGCCACACCTCCAGTCCATTTTGTTCTGGTTATTTGGAGGTGGGGTCTTGCTAACTATTTGCTGGACTAACCTTGAACTGTGATCTTCCCGATCTCAGATTCTCAAGTAGCTAGGATTACAGGCATGAACCACCAGCACCCAGTTCAAGGACTTTTTAAGACCTGCTGTCTTTCCCTTCCTGCTCCAGTCTCCATCACAGGAGGTCTGGTCCTGTGCTGCAGCTGTAGATCACTCAGTCTTCTTGGTGTGGATGAAAGATTTAGTTATGCAGTATCCCAGGGTGGTTTGGGTGACTTGCCAGATCCTGCAGGGGCATCTCAAGAGATGGACCCTCGTGACTTGGCCACATCTACTGAGAGAAGTCTGGGTGGGGCTTTACTAATTTTATTTCATATGTACAAAAACAGTTTGTTCTTGCAGTACTGGGATGGAACCCAGGACCTCACACATGCTGGGAAAGGGCACTATCACTGAGCTACACCCCTGATTTAGCAATTTTTTTGCGGTGCCAGGGCTTGAACTCAGGGCCTACCCCTTTAGCCATTCCACCAGCCCTGTTGTTTTATGTTAGGTATTTTTGAGATAGGGTTTCATGAACTGTTTGCCTGGGCTGGCTTCGAACCTCAATCCTCGTGATCTCTGCCTCCTGAGTAGCTAGGATTACAGGTGTGAGCCACCAGCGCCTCACTGATACAGCAAATTTTATGTACAAGTTTTTTGTTTGGTATTTTATAATCTAGGAGATTCTCATTCTCTTTGGAATTAGTACCCCGGTGCCAGGAACCAGTGATACAAGTGAAATTCCTTTTCTGATTGAAGCAATAGGAAGTACACAACATTAGTTATAAAGTCTTCTTGCCAAAACTATTCACCTAAAAGCAAATGAAGCCTGCATTAGAAATTTCATAGATGATAGAAATGTCCCACACCAGCACTGAACAATGAGGAGCTACCTGCCACAGGTAGCATGGAGTACCTGAAATTCCATTCATATGTCTGGGGAACAGAATTTTTATTTCAGTTAAATTATTTTAAATTGAGGCCATGTGCCTGGTGGCACATACCTGTAATCCCAATTCCTCAGGAGGCAGAGATAGGGAGGATTGAAGTGCAAGACCAGCCCAAGCAAAAAAGTTAGTGAGACCCCATCTCAACCAGTAAACTGGGTGTAGAGGTCTGCACTGTAGTCCTGGTTACATGGGAGGCATAGTTAGAAGGATTGTAGTCCAGGGCTGGTCCCAGGGGAAAAAAACTGGTGAGCCCCTATCGGTAAAATATCTAAAGCAAAACAAAAAAGGGCTGGGTGTGTAGCTCAAGAGGTAGGGTGTCTGCTTAGCAAGCATGAAGTCCTGAGTTCAAACCCCAGTTCTGTCCAGAACAAACAAACAAATAAATAATAGAAATTTAAAAATCATATGCAGCTAGTGACTACTGTATTGGAGAGCATGGTTTGGATTTAACTTTCAGTTTGCAGGAAGTATACAGAAAAGAAAAACAGCACCTATAAGCAGCAAGGTGACCCAGCCAGAGGGGCACCATCCCCCAGGGCCATGCACAGCGTAAGAGACCACTCAGATTAGCCTGGAGCAGCCTGTGAGGAAAGGCTTCTTATTTAATTGGGGAAATTTGAATATAGACTGGATATTAGATGATATTATGGAATTATGGTTATTTTTGTAAAATGTATTCACAGAATGCAGTTACATAGAAAAATGCCTTTTTTTTTAGAGCTACATTTGAGTATTCAGTGGTGCTATGTCACATGATGTTTTTAATTCCCCATAAGATATTTTCACAAAATAAAATAGAGCTAGGACCGTAGCCCAGTGGTGGAACCTGCCTAGCTTGGGTGAGGCCCTGGGTTTCATCTCCAGTGCCACAAAGAAATAAAAAGAGGATACAGATATTATCAGAGGCTGAGAATTTAAAAAATCTGGGTAATGAGTATAAGGGAATGGTTATGTATTTTCTCTACTTTTCTGAATGTATGAATTTTCATAATAAAGAGTATATGTGTATGTTATATGTACATATATATACACAAACATGAATCTGTGTATTTCATAAACAGTGAAAACACCCTACAACAAGCTGGACTGAGATTATTTTGAATAATAAATAAAAATTGCAAAAATAAATCTATCAGTATTTAACAAATTTTGGCATGCATTTAAAAAGTTAGAGTAAATAAGTATTGATCCTTTTGCACATTTTTTCTGAAAAATGACATGATATTAAGATAGATAACATCATTCCCTTTACACCTGACTCAGTGGAGTCAGATAAATAGTCTAAGATATTTAGATTTCATCTTTTTTTTTCTCTCCTCTAAGTCTGATTTAATCTTTTGATTAACGACAAAAGATTGTCTCTTTTGGCGTAACGACATTTTCATTTTATTTATATATCATTCATTTATTTTTTGGTGGAACTGGAGTTTGAAGTCAGGGCTTCCCATTTGCAAAGCAGGTGCTCTTCCACTTGAGCCATGCCTCCAGTCCATTTTGCTCTGGTTAATTTGGAGATGGGGGGTCTCTAGAACTGTTTCCCCAGGCTGGCCTCAAACAATGATTCTCCTGATCTCAGCCTCCTAAGTAGCTAGGATTATAGGTGTGCCTGCACCAGGCTTTACAGAGTTTTTACTTAGAAATTATTTCAATTTTACAGGAATTGTATAAGAATAAAGATTGCACCAAGTACAATGATAAGCCTTTTAACCCAGATTCACCGGTTGTTAACATTTATTTCACTCTGTGAGCTCTAGTGTCTGTATGTGTTCTATTTCCTTCCTTCCTTCCTCCCTCCCTCTCTCCCTTCTCTCTCCTTCTCTCTCTCTTTTTCTTTCCTTCTTTATGTCTGTCTGTCTGTCTCTTTTGTACTCAGGATAGAACCCAGGGCCTTGTCTGTGCTAGGCAAGTGCTGTACCACTGAGCTACATCCCCAGTTCTTCTTGGACTTTTGGAGAGTTATTACATATATTATGACACTTTATTATTTTTTTTTGACAGTACTGGGATTTGAACTCAGGGCCTCAAGCTTGCTAGGCAAGCGCTCTACTGCTTGAGCCACTCCGCTAACCTGGTGACCCTTTATTCTTAAATCCTACAGGATATATTTCTTTTTTGAAAAAAAATTCACATTTATTGTATTTATTTCATGATACATTGAATACATGGCTCATCAGGACTTGAAAAACTTTGTTTTATACTAGTTATTTTTTTTGTCTGTCTCTCTTTCTGTCTCCCTCTTTCTCTCTCTGCTGTTTTTCAGCTTTATTAAGGTGGCACATGCCTGTGATCCTAGTACTTAGGAGGCGAAGGCATGGAGGATCTTGACCTTGAGGCCAGCCTGGACAGTATAGCAAGATTCCATCTCAAGAAATCAAGGACTGGAGTGTAGCTCAGTGGTGGAGG